TTCTGGAACCGGTTTAAGCCTGTAGTTATGATTCTATAATTTGATTACTGCATCTACAGGTGACATAGAAGTGCTACGTAGAAGCCAGGCTCTCATGGTTCACACCTGTAATCCTAACTACTCAAGAGGCTGAGATCTGATGGTTCAAAGATAACCAGGACAGCTGGGCACTGGTGGCTCACGCCTGTAATCCTAGCTACTCAGGAGGCTGAGATCTGAGGATCATGGTTCAAAGCCAGCCCGGGCAGGAAAGTCCATGAAACTCTTATCTCCAATAAACCACCAGAAAACCAGAAGTGGCACTGTAGCTCAAGTGGTAGAGAACTAGCCTTGAGCTGAAGAGCTGAAGGGCAGTGCTCAGACCCAGAGTTCAAGTCCCATGACCAACAACAACAACAAAAAAGATAACCAGAACAAGAAAATCCATGACACTCTTACCTCCAGTTAACTACCCAAAAAGTCAAAAATGGAGCACTAGCCTTGAGCAGAAAAGTCCAGAACAATGCTGAACAGTGCCCAGGCCCTGAATTCAAGCCCCAGGACCAGCACAAATACAAAAAGAAAAAAAAGAAAGGAAACCAAAAAAAAAAGAAAAAAGGAAACCTCAGGTTTATACCAGCCTAACCAATTAAATTATGTTTTAATTGCTACATGATTATACATATTTATGGGACACATGCTTCAATGTACACACACAATGTACACACACAAATGTAGCTCAGTGCTAGATCATTTGTCTAGCGTGTACAAGGTCCTAGGTGTGACCCCCAGCTCCACACCACAAAATCCTCTATTTACTCTTTGAAAATGCACAGTGTCAACTACATTCATACCACCATGCTGTAGAACTAGAACTTATTCCTCCCATTTAACTGTAACTTACTACCCAATGACTACTTTCCCCTATGCCTTTTGCCTTTACTTTCCCTGGAAAGCCTACATAGGTATATCAAACTCCAGGGTATAAATGAGAAATCCTATCTGAAAAAAAAAAAAAACTAAAAAGCCAAGTGAATGTACTTGGGAGGCTGTAGCAAAAGAATTGTGAATGCAAGGTAAGGCTGAATTACATCAAGAACCTGTCTCAAAATATTTTTTTAAAAAAGAAAATAATAAAGGAAAAGAAAAAATCCAAAATGAAATCCTATATTATGTTCTTGATTAGTTAATATCTTCTAGACTTGGTGACTTATCACTAAATTGCATAAGTGATTGAATAGAAATATATTTTAGAAAGATATATTACCAAGCATGGTACTGCATGCTTATCCTGGACAAAGTTAGTGAGACCCTGTCTCAAAAATAAAATATACAACAAAAGGGCTAGAGGTATCACTCAAGTGGTAAAGTGCTTGTCTATCATGTATGAGGCCCTGAGTTCAGTCCCCAGTACTTCAAAATAAGAAAAAAATTAGCACCCACAGTGTTACATGTAAATTTACTGTATTAATCCAAAGAATAGGAGCTGCCTTTTGGTTATGCATAATCTGATTTTTATTAAGGATAGTTTCAAAGCAGAGACCACAGGAATTTTGTGAATAGTCACTTCAGAAGAATAATTATAATACTACTACAAAAAGACTGGTTAGGATGTACTTTAAACATGTTCTGAATTTTATATATCTTTGAGAGTCTAATGAGACATATTCTCTCACACCTATATACTGACTCACAAAAACCTGTGTTTACTTTCAGCAGGTTCACAGATCCCCAAAACTCCCAAAGAGCAACAGAAGAAATACAGTAGCCCAAAAATATAAGGGAAAATGTTCACACTAACTTATAAAGAAACAAAAATTGAAATGTTGAGGAGGTACCATTTTTCATTCCTCACAGTAACAAAATCAGAATGTCTCACATCTTGCATTTAGAATGGTATGGGTGAAATGTTATACATGTTATAGCATGTAAATATTAATTAGAAGTACCTTTTAAGAAAACTATTTGCCAGAACCTATCAAAATGCTGATGTGCAAACACTGTGACTTGGCATTGCACTTTTCTTAGCATCTTTGTGTGAAATTTTAAAAAATTAATAAAATAAAAGCTAAACCTAAAACTTAGCAACAGGACAGTGGATATTTTTTTCCAGAACTGGGGTTTGAACTCGGGGCCTTGTGCTCTCACTCTGCTTTTTCTCTCAAGGCTGGTGCTCAACCACTTAAGCCAAAGATTCACTTCTGGCTTTTTATTGGTTGAAGTTAAGAATATCAAAGATTTGCTTGCCTGGACTGGCTTTGAAACTTGATTCTCAGATCTCAGCCTCCTGAGTAGCTAGGACTACAGGTATGAGCCTCTCACTGATCCATTCAGCCTGGCTGAAAATGGATTTACAATAATCAGGTATACCCTTATTTGATAGTCCTGAAATTTGAACTCAGAACTTTGCACTTGCTATGCAAGTGTTTAAGACACAGCTCTAACCCAAAATATAGGATATATTTTTCAAAAAGAATGAGGTACATCTACATCGTCTCATTTAGAAAGAATATTACTCAGTGAAAAGCAAACTTACAAGGTACTATGTCTAGCACTACTCTACTTGAGTTTCAAAATAAAATTTGGAGGGGGGTTGTTTTGTTTTGTTTTTTGTCAGTCATGGGGCTTGAACTCTGGGCCTGGGCGCTGCCCCTCAGCTCTTCAACTCAAGGCTAGCACTCTACCACTTGAGCCACAGCATTACTTCCGGTTTTCTGATAGTTTATTAGAGATAAGAGTTTCACGGACTTTCCTTCCCTAGCTGGCTTTGAACCATGATACTCAGCTCTCAGCTTCCTGAGTAGCTAGGATTACAAGTGTGAGCCACCAGTGCCTAGCAAAATAAAAAATTTTTAATGTGCAGTTACATACAAATATTTATCCATGTGTATAATCTGCGTGTGCATCTGTGTTAGAGGGCAGTCTTCCTGTTTGTGTGTGTGCATCTGTGTGTGTGTTAGAGGTTAGTCTTCCTCTTTTTGGCGTCAACAGAAGTATCTGCATACCAAAATAGACACTTCGGTAATCTTTCTAACCCCTCATGAGAACAAAAACTGGCCTCATAAATTCCTCTTTGGCCAGCCAAATCAGGGGTTTTATAGAGATCTAAGACAGCGCCCAGGCCCAAAGTTCAGGCCCCACGAACAACAACAACAACAACAAAAAAAAAGATTTGCTGGGCACCGGTGGCTCTTATCTGTAATCCTAGCTACTCAGGAAGCCGAGATCCACAGATCATAGTTCAAAGCCACTCTGGGCTGGGAAGGTGGCTCAGTGGTAGAGCGCTTGCCTTGCATGCCTGAGGCCCTGGGTTCGATTTCTCAGCACCACATAAGCAAAAAGAAAAAAGCCGGAAGTGGTAATGTGGCTCAAGTGGTAGAGCGCTAGCCTTGAGCTGAAGAGCTGAGGGACAGCGCCCAGGCCCAGAGTTTAAGCCCCAAGGCTAACAAAAACAAATAAACAAAAAGAGATCTAAGAGAGAGCTAATGATGTGGCTCTAGTGACAGAACACTTGCCAAACATGAGTGAGCCCATGGGTTCAGTCTGCAGTACTGCAGAGAGAGATCTAAGAGACATTTGCAAGAGGATTGGTAAAGAGGTTTCTTAGGAGAAAACTATTCTGGAGGTTGCTAACCTTCTTTTGGGGGAAAAGGGAAGGGAAGACATAAGTGTAGAATAATCAGACATCCCTCACCATTTTCCCCATGACTGGCCCTGGCTTAATTATTAATGGTACGTGCTGTGTGTGTGTGTGTGTGTGTATGTCTGTGTGTCTGTGTGTCTGTGTGTCTCTGTCTGTGTCTCTGTCTGTGTCTAGGTCTGTGTGTGCACATGCATACCAGTCCTAGGGCTCAAACGCAGGGCCTGAGAACTGTCTCTGAGCTTTTCTGCTCAAGGCTGGCATTCTATCACTTGAACCACAGCTCCAATTCTAGCTTTTTGGTGGTTAACTAGAGGTAAAAGTCTCACAGACTTTCCTGCCCAACTTCTTTCAAATAGGTCCTCAGATCTCAGCCTCCCAAGTAGGTAAGATGACACATGTGAGCCACCAGTACCAGCTGGCACCTGCTTTTTATTGTGAACTATCCCAACTAGTACGGTAACAATATGGCTACCCTGGCTCAGTGACATGGCTACCCTCCCCACCTCCCAGTTTCTGATATAGGTCTCTGTAGTTGCCTGACTCCCATGTGAACTAAGTCAGATGCACTCAGAAAGTCCAAGTGAATTTGAATCAAGATGTCCTGAGTGTTTCTATCGGTTCAACCAGCATCGTCTTAGATCTTTGTTTTTGCTGCTGTAGTTGTTTTCAAATTCTAGGTCTTACTACATATCCCAGATTCTCCTAGAACTTGAGGTCTTCCTGCCTCAGCCTTCCAAGTGCTGGGATTACAGGTATATACCACCATGCCCGGCTCCTGTGGTCCTGTATCTTATCAAATAAGATGTATACCCAAAATAGAAATGTGTCTATCTAGATCATAGAAGCAACAGGAAAGAAGAGGGTCTACCAAGAACCTCCCAAGAGTTACTAATGCTCCCCCAAAGTGAGTTCATTTTGAGGCGCAAGCGCAGATGGCGCGGGCCGCAGGTCAGTTGTGGCGCGGGAACAGAGGCTGCTCGGCCTCTGCGTCTTCGCCGCCATGGCTAGTCAGTCGCAGGGGATTCAGCAGCTGCTGCAGGCCGAGAAGCAAGCATGCCGCCGAGAAGGTGTCCGAGGCCCGCAAGCGAAACAACCGAAGGCTGAAGCAGGCCAAAGAAGAAGCGCAGGCTGAAATCGAACAGTACCGCCCGCAGAGGGAGAGAGTTCAAGGCCAAGGAAGCCGCGGCCCTGGGATCCCATGGCAGTTGCAGAAATGAGGTGGAGGAGACTAAGGAGAAGATGACCATCCTCCAGAACCACTTCCTGCAGAACAAGGAGAAAGTTCTAGAAAATCTCTTGGCCTTTGTGTGTGACATCCAGCCAGAAATCCACGAGAACTACCGCATAAATGGCTAGGACAAGAGAAGCGCCTTTCCATGGACTGTGAGGCTTAGCAAAGCTCCAGTTCTGTGCTGTGAGAGACATTAAATTATTTCTGTATTCAGAGTAGCCAGTCTAGCTTCTGTGTCTAAATTTAGTGTTTATCCAAAGGTTCATCTTTTTTTTTTTTTTTGAGTCCAGTCATGGGCCTGAACTCTGGGTCTGGCCGCTGTCCCTCAGCTCTTCAGCTCAAGGCTAGAGCTCTACCACTTGAGCCACAGCGCCACATCTGGCTTTTTGCTTATGTGGTGCTGAGGAATCGAACCCATGGCCTCAAGCATGCAAAGCAAGCGCTCTACCACTGAGCCACCTTCCCAGCCCTAAAGGTTCATCTTTATACCTCTTATTTCTTAGGAATTTAATGAGTCTATGTTGTCTGTTTTCCTATGCCTTTCAGCTCAAGCAATGTGTTAGTGTCACTTTTTTCCCTTAGATCTTAATAGGATCAAAAAATTATAATTCTTTGAAGAAAGAAAGGGATTAAGTAATTTTTTTCCCTTATACTTTCTTAAAGGTCAGGGGCTTTATCTATGAAAAAGTAGTATGTAGTTATTTGTAACTTGTACAAAGCAGCAGCCAGCCTTAAAACAGTCCATTCTGGCTAAATGTTAGAACATTGAATTCTAATGTACTTTTTGGGGGCTGCTGTTAGTTTATTTTAATCAAAATGACTAGATGATAGGACTTAAGAACTTACTACATGTTACTTGGTGTACTGATAATCATTTAAGAGTAAAATCTTTGTGTGAAAAAAAAAAAGGGAGTTCATTTTAACCATCTATGAAGCTTAGCCCAAAGCTATCATGCCACTCAAAAACTGGCTGTAACCTCTCTCCCTTCCCTCTTGTTAGACAAGAACTAACTAAAAAATGAATGAAAGAAGATGTCAGCATGGAAAAAGTTAAGTAGAGAAAGGCACAAAAATAGAAGCAAAAAAGAGCTAGTGAGCTTACAGAGACAACAATGGGAAAGAGATACAGAGAAAGTAGAATAGAGAAAGAGGCAGCCAGGGACAAGGGGGAAGAACTCAGTAAAAAGCCAAAGGAGATTAATTTGCTTTAAAGTTTGTTTGTTTGTTTGTTACCAGTCCTGGGGCTTGAACTCAGGGCCTGGGCCCTGTCCTTGAGCTTCTTTTGCTCAAGGCTAGCACTCTACCACTTGAGCCACAGCAACACTTCCGGCTTTTTCTGCTTATGTGGAACTGAAGAATCAAACCCAGGGCTTTATGCATGCTAGGCAAGTACTCTACCACTCGGCCACATTCCCAACCCTGCTTTAAAGTTTTGGCTTTTATATATGACCAAACATTTTAATTACTAAGTTTATACTGTTGTGTAAGTACGAGTTCCTTCTAACTTAGAATTACGAGGAAGCCCTGCTCAAATGTTCATATAAAAACAGGAGGGATATACAATCATTTGAATTAAGAAATCAAAATCCAAAATGAAATTTTGATTTTATTGTATTCCATAAGTCATGCTTGTTCAAAACATGGTTTCTTGCGTGAGTGTAGGGAGCCTTTTAGATAAACTAGGCTCCGCAGAAGTTATTATGATTATTTCTAAGGGAGAGTCTTTCCTTATGCACCTATTATTTGAATGTGTTACTGTAAGCAAGTATTACTTTTAGCGTTCTCAACAGAAGATGAAAATAAGAATACTTTTTCTGGCCCAGGGCCTTGAGTGTGTTAGGTAACCATTCTACCACTTGAGTCATGCCCCCAACCCAAGAAATTTTTAATCTTTTATTTTGCCAGTCCTGGAGCTTGAACTCAGGGCCTGGGCATTGTCCTTGAGCTTCTTTTGCTCAAGGTTAGAGCTCTACCACTTGAGCCACATCACCACTTTTGGCTTTTTCTGTTTACGTGGTACTGAGGAATAGAACCCAGGGCTTCATGCATGCTAGGCAAGCACACTACCACTAAGCCACATTCCCAGCCCTTTAATATTTTTAAATAAGCAAGTAGCTGGTAGATAATGATCATAAGGCCCAGACTCGGACCTAGCACTCAGCCAAGCCATTCCTCTAATACCCCATCCCTGAGCATGGGCATTTGATAGCTGCTATTCTCCTGCTCAACATGGATACTTCTGAATGACCACTCCCTCTGTGACTGCCACTTGCTTCCATTTTCCCCCTTACTGTCTGCTTTTTCTCCTCTTCTGGTAGTCTTTCACCTCGTTACATGCCATCTATGAAAGCTCTCAAGGTCATATAGCCCATGGACAGAGTCAGATTCACTTACAATTCATTATGCATTGATTTCCTTTTCAAAGCTTCAGAATGTTGGAAATAATTTGTATGTCCTGACTTTCTTTTAGATGGAAAGAAAACACTTGAAATAAAAAAAATGAACTGTAAACCAAAATATGTCTGATGAAAATCAAACCCAGGACACAATAATGGAAAGGCTAAGAAGAGGTCCATTTCTGGTACTCTGTCCTAGGAGGACTCTGGGATTTTGATTATCAACTAGAATTTAACCAGGAAAAACAGGAGAGATAAATACCTTTTACTCACCAAAAAACTGAACAAGAGAGATACATTAAAGGAAATAAATTTGAGGAAAAATATCATCTGAACTCAAAGCCTATTATGCACCCAAAAATTCCTTTAATTAAAATACCTCTTGACTATGACACACAAACAAATAGCATCAAACATAATTCAGATTTTATTTATCAGGAAAACTATGCAAGAGAAGTTCCTATAAATACCATGAATGTGGAAAAATCTTCAATGAACATATTCTTCTTTCTAATCAGATTCACACCAGAGAGAAACCCATTGAACATGGAACCCACAACCCGTCTCTTACCCAACCACAGATAGTCCCTACAGGGGAGAAACCTTATAAGTGTGATGAGTGTGGGAAAAGATTCAGCCAGAGAATACGTCCTATTCAACATCAGAGAATTCACACAGGGGAAAACTTTTATTTGTGATGAATGTGGGAAAGCCTTTCGCCAACATTCCTCCTTCACTCAACTTCTGAGAATCCATACTGGAGAGTAGTCCTATAAGTGTAATCAATGTGGCAAAGCCTTCAGCTGTATCACATCTCTTACTGAGCATCATAGATGTCATATTGAAGAGAAACAGTATGAATGTAATTTTTGCAGAAAGCCTTCAGCCAGAGTACACATCTTAATCAACATGAAAGAACACATACAGGAGAGAAGTCCTATAAGTGTCATGAGTGTGGGAAAGCCTTTTGCCAGATTACTCACCTTAATCAACACAAGAAAATCCATGTGCAGGAGAAATTGCAGAAGTACAAATGTGAGACAGTTCTAAGCCATAGTCTTTCATTCAGTGGCACATAAGATAGCTAAATCACGCACTTAAAAAATGTGGGAATATGGGGCTGGGAAGGTGGCTCAGTGGTGAGCGCTTGCCTTGCATGCGTGAGGCCCTGGGTTTGATTCCTCAGCACCAGTGAGCAAAAAGAATAAAGCTGGAATTGGCGCTGTGGCTCAAGTGGTAGAGCACTAGCCTTGAGCTGAAGAGCTGAGGGACAGCGCCCATGCCCAGAGTTCAGGCCCCAAGACTGGACCCCCCCAAAAAAAAGTGGGAATTGTTTTTATCAGACTCTTGTTCCTTCTAGTATCAAATTATTTATAGTGAAAAGAAAGCTTATAAATAAATTTTAATGTGTAGAAACCAAATAAATTTATACCTTAAGCTAGCAGCATTTCACATTCCCAGGAAGATTACAAATAGTCAATATTGTTTTATAAACAAAAATATATTTAGCTGTTTTTTTGGGGGGGGGGTCCCGTCTTGGGGCCTAAACTCTGGGCCTGGGCGCTGTCCCTCAGCTCTTCAGCTCAAGGCTAGCACTCTACCACTTGAGCCACAGCGCCACTTTCCCGCTTTTTTCTTTTTGCTTATATGGTGCTGGGGAGTTGAACCCAGGGCCTCATGCATGCAAGGCAAGCGCTCTACCACTGAGCCACCTTCCCAGCCCATTTAGCTGTATTCTTAATCTGATATAAAACTTCCAAAATAAACTTCTAGGTGTAGGTACATGCCTGTAACCCCAGCATTCAGGAAGCTGAGGCAAAAGGATAACAACAAGTTTAAAGGCAGCCTGGGCTGCATAGTTTGACTCTGTCTCAAGAGGAAAGATAGGGTAGGAGACAAAGAAAAGAAAGAATACACCTTCTATTGGGTGCTGGTGGCTCATGTCTGTAACCCTAAATACTCAGAAGGCTGATATCTGAGGATCATGGTTATAAGCCAACCTGGGCAGGCGAGTCCTGTGAGACTGTACTATTAAACACCAGAAAACTGGAAGTGGCACTGTGGCTCTAAGTGGTAGAGCACCAGCCTTGAGCAGAAGAGCTCAGGCACAGCGCCCAGGCTCAGAGTTCAAGCCCTATGACCAAAAAAAAAAAAGAATGTACCTTCCACACTGGCAAAATGTGTGCCTGACCACACCAAGTGCTGGGCCATGCAGTTCAACCTTGGAGAGAGAGAGAGACAGAGACAGAGAGAGAAAGAGAGAGGAGAGTTGTATAATCAATGACTTATAATTATTTATCTGTAAATTTTATGCCATAAAGTTTTTAAGTAAGTTTTTACATAAACATTGGTTAAGCAATACAATGCTATAGTAAAACCAGTTACACAAATCAAAATAACAGTATTTCTGGAATTTCATTTACAATTTTTACTATATCTAGTTTTCATATTTTTTATTTATGTGTTTGTGTGTGTGTGTGTGTGTGTGTGTGTGTGTGTGTGTGTGTGTGTGTGTGTATATGTGTGCTGGTCATGAGGCTTGAACTTGGGGCTTGAGCTTTTTTGCTCAAGGCTAGTGCTCGAACCCTTGAGCCACAGCTCCACTCTTTTTTTTGGTGGTTAATTGGAGATGAGTCTCATGGACTTTCCTGCCTGGCCTGGCTTAACTGGGATCCTCAGATCTCAGTGACCTGAGTAGCTAATATTACACACATGAGCCACCAACCTCTCTTTAGTTTTAGTATTTTTAAAGAACATAGGATTGTAGCTTGACCTAGGAAATATCTCTAAAAATTATGGGCTTCCTATACTAACTATCTTTGTTCTACTCCCATCAGAATAAATGTGCAGCTTTTGGAATTAAAATATTCATTGTTATACCACAAAAAAATACTGTGTGCCATCATTTGAGAAACTGTGATAGGACATACTATTCTTTTTAGTAATCCTTTCCTTTTCTTCAAAAAAATAATAGGATCACTTTGAGAAAAGAATTGGAGGGCCAAGCACCAGTGGCTCAAACCTGTAATCCTAGTTACTCAGGAGGCTGAGATCTGAGAATTGAGGTTCAAAGCCAGCCCAGGCAGGGAAAGTCGTGAGACTCTTATCTCCAAAAACCACTCAGAAAACCAGAAGTGGTGCTGTGGCTCAAGTGGTAGTGTGTTAGCCTTGAGGTGAGGGACTGTGCCCAGGCCCAGAGTTCGAGCCCCACAACCGACAAAAAAAAAAAAATGAATTGGAGGACACTGGTGATCTCATTGACAAACCTTGAAATTTTTATTTATAGAAATGCTTTTCTGTCCTGTTAGTCTAGTTTTAAGTTAACCTATAGCAAATGTAGATTATCATTTTATTCTGATGTTGGTTAACATGGGAAATACTTTACAGACACATAATATGAATGATTGTTTCTTATTGGGCCCATTAGTCTGTGGGCCTTTTAGGGTGAGTCTCTTTTTATCTTTTTGCCCTAGCACATAGTTCAGTGTTCAATAAGAGTTTACTAAAAAATAATAATAAGTAAGGCAAGTTAGTGTTTATTCAGATACTTATTTCCCAAGTCTTTCTCTGAGACTGACCATGTCTATATTGTGCCCTTCAAACTGTTCTTTTTTTTCTTTTTTTTTTTTTGTCGGTCATGGAGCTTGAACTCTGGGCCTGGGCACTGTCCCTCAGCTCTTCAGTTTAAGGCTAGTGCTCTACCACTTGAGCCACAGCGCCACTTCTGGTTCTCTGGTGGTTTATTGGAGATGAGTTTCACGGACTTTCCTGCCCGGGCTGGCTTTGAACAAGATCCTCAGATCTCAGCCTCCTGAGTAGCTAGGATTACAGGTGTGCGCCACCAGCACTCGCCCTTGAGAATGTTCTAATAGCCAGGCGCTGGTGGCTCATGTCTAGCTACTCAGGAGTGTGAGATCTGAGAAATATGGTTCAAAACCAGCTCCAGCAGGAAAGTCCGTGGGACTCATTACCAATAAACCTCCAGAACACAGGAAGTGGCACTGTGGCTCACGTGGTAGAGCTCTCACCTTGAGCTAAAGAGCTGAGGGACAGCACCCAGGCCCAGAGTTCAAGCCCCATGACCTACAAAACAAAAAACTGTTCCAGTAGTCCCTTGTTGCTGTTTCTCTCAGCAACTTCTGAACAAAAACCTAATATATTTCTAGTCTTTCCTCTGTCTGAAAAGGTACAATCAGGTGGCCTACTCAGTCTTAATTCCTTAATAAATGGCACAGGAATGTAGGTCTTCATCCAGACTCTCTTTAACAGACATTGAGAAGTAACACGAATTATAATGGATATAAAAATCTGGGCTGGGAAGGTGGCTCAGTGGTAGAGCGCTTGCCTTGCATGCATGAGGCCCTGGGTTCGATTCCTCAGCACCACATAAGCAGAAAAAAAAAAGCCGGAAGTGGCGCTGTGGCTCAAGTGGTAGAGCATTAGCCTTGAGCTGAAGAGCTGAGGGACAGTGCCCAGGCCCAGAGTTCAGGCCCTCTACCGGACCCCCCCCCCAAAAAAAAAAAATCTGCAAAACTTAAAGAGCAGCACAGGCTGGATGGAGAAGCTTGATCAAGCACTTCCCTAACATGCACAAGGCCATGGGTTCAATTCCTGCACTGAACACAGAAGCAGAGTGAGTGGGAATAACCGGGCATCTCTGTCTCTGGATTTAGAAACATCAGATGCTTCGTTGGTTTTATGTAGTCTTTTTTCAATTGACATATAATGCACATATGTATGAGGCACGAAGTGACATTCCAATACATGTCTACAATGTCGAAGGACCAGATCAGAGTCGCTGGTATATCCATTACCTCAAACGTTTATAATTTCACTGTCTTAACATTCAAAATCCCACTTCTGTTTGCCATAATGCAACTAAACGTTGTCAACCGCAGCTGTCATGCCGCGGGACGGAACGTTAGGAGCTATTCCTCCCGCTTGCAGCCCAAAGTTGCACTGCTTGGTGATGAACGTCCCTTTGGCAAGGCCTCGTCACACCACAGGGAGACGGGAAGGGGGCGCAACTGCGGCCGGAACTGCCAGCGCTGCCGCCGCGCGCAGTGCGCCGCAGGAAAACAGCCCGGACACCTGCGACCGCCCTAGACCCAAGGGAAAGGAGCGGCAGGGGCGGGGCCTGCGTGCGTCTTGACGCTATCACGCTTCCGCCCGGTGCTTGCGGCGTTGGACGCTGAGGTGAGCACGGGCGCGGGCCGCGGCTCCGGGACCGGCGGCAAGGCGTCGCCTACCCTCACGGCGGTCGGGGCGGAGATTGAGATCATCCCGGACTCCCGCGGGCCTGGCGGGAGGCCTCGGGAGCGACTGACCCCAGAGGCACTGCCCGGCGAGGCTCCGTCCCCTGGAGAAGTCCCTCCAAGTCCCGCGAACCCCGAGTGGCAGGGCCTCGGGCCTGAGATCAGCAGCCAGGAGGGCGGACGGGGAGCGTCGGGACCCTCACTGCGGGGAGGAGGCCCTGAAGCTAGGCAAACGATCCCTGCCGCCCGGTGAGCACTGGAGATTGGGCTGTGAAGAGGTGACTGGCCTACGGGTCTGCAAAATGGTGGCCCCAGAAAGATAACAGCCGTTTCTGAACTTGGGCGGTCCTCAGGACTGAATTCATTGAACAAGGCATAGTCACCCTAAGGGCTTCGGTTTGTTTTGAGATATCTTTTGTTTGTAGAGCTGAAGATGAACCCAGGGCCTCATTGTGCTAGGCAGGTATTCCACCCTGAACTTCAGCCCCAGCTTGGAATGTTGAGCTTTGAAATTTGTTTTTCAGGTGACCAGAACCTCATAATGTCAGTGATTCGTTCATCTGTCCACGCTAAATGGATCGTGGGGAAGGTAATTGGGACGGCAATGCAAAGAACTGCTAAAGTGAGAGTGACTAGGCTTGTCCTGGATCCCTACTTACTAAAGGTGAGGAACATCCCCATTTTCACCAGACATTGTGAACTCTCTGGATTTGAGCAGAACACAATTAGTAGGAGAGGTGTTGAGCATTTGCTCTCTGCAGCCAGCATGCTGGTCTGTGTGTATAATGTGGTTCACACAGTTAATTTATTCTGATAGGTACTGTCGGCAGGCATACAGAATGTGAGAGCAAAGAACAGTATGCTAAATTCTTTCCTCCTTGGTTGCCATAAAGAGTTTCTCAGAAATATTTAAGCTGAACCTCAAGTATGATTTTATCCAGAGGACCATAGATGGAAGTCATTCCAACTGTTGTGAGTGGCTTGTGGCAAGAAGTTCATTTAGCTATGATGGTGCAGGCGTATTCTACATTCTCGGGCAATGTTGAGCACAGGAGGTTGACATTTACCGAGCACTCCTATCAAATGAATGCAAAGATAAGTCAGGCTTAACTGTGAATGGTCTTTTATGTTTTTGACCTGATTCTTTAATTAAAGGAAAATATTTGAAAACAGGATGGGGGCTGGAGGAAAGAGAATGGATGAGGAAACTCGATAAAGTTGGAGCAGTGGAGATGGAGTAGAAAAAGATTTCAGGAAGAAAGCACATGGTCATTGGCTTGTTAGATATACAGGAGAGGGAGGGTGGTGTCTGTATCTGAGTTTGGGCTCATGGGCAATAGGAATGCTGATCGTGATCTAGGAGCAAAAGCATAGGAGCAAGCCAAACAAGGCCTGGTGATTGGCCTTGGGAGTTCTGGTCTTGAATACTGACCCTGTTGATGCTGTGTGTGCTAACCTTCTTAAGCTGCGTTTCTCATCTGTGAAATGGAAATGGCCTCATGCAGCAAGATTAGGAAAAGCAACTGATTCTAATTATTTTATTTGTGACACTTTGGGGCAGGCTTAGAACTACATGTGTTATATATGTTATAATGTTTAAGTCTCCTGATAATTACAGCCTCGTTTTAGGTAGGGAAAAAAATGAGCTTAGAGTTATTATGTGATTCACATAGATAATTGAGAGATTTGCATGCTCAGTGGAAAATGTTTGGTGTGTGGAGAGATGGTAACTAATAGAGCAGAGGAGTGGCCTGAAGAGCTCAGGGTGTTTTTTCCCTTCTCCCCAAGTCCTGGCCTCTTTTCTGAGCATTACCTTGTTATATTTTATACTGCCAGGTCACCAGTAGGAACTACTGATTTGTTCCTCTCCTTTTCTCAACAGTATTTTAATAAGCGGAAAACCTACTTTGCTCATGACGCCCTTCAGCAGTGCACTGTTGGGGACATTGTGCTTCTCAGAGCTCTACCTTTTCCAAGAACAAAGCATGTGAAACATGAACTGGCCGAGATTGTTTTCAAAGTTGGCCAAGTCATAGATCCAGTGTCAGGAAAACCCTGTGCAGGAACTGCCTACCTGGAGAGCCCACTCATTTCAGAAACCACTCAGCTAAACAAAACCCTGGAAGAACCCAGCATCTCTTCAACACAGTGAACAGTTTGGAAGAAGGAGCCAAAGAGAAACATTATATTTACTGTATGAAAAATATTTTTTCTAACTTACATTAAGAACTATGCCAAGTTCTCTTACAGCATTTTGGAAGTAGGAAAGCAAATGAAGTAAAGGGTTTATTCTAAGTTTACGAATTTTCAGGATTTTCTTTCCAGTAAACATACTTTCATGTTATACCAAGTATGCCTAGAAATCTGCTGTATATTTTCTAAGTTCTATGTTAGAAGATACATTGTTTAATTTTGTCTTTTCAAAAGAATTTTTTTTTTTTTTTTTTGGTCAGTCATGGGGCTTGAACTCTGGGGCTGGGTGCTGACCCTCAGCTCTGCAGCTCAAGGCTAGCGCTCTACCACTTGAGTCATAGCATCACTTCCAGTTTTCTGGTAGTTTATTGGAGATAAGAATTTCACGGAATTTCCTGCCCAGGCTGGCTTTGAACCGCAATCCTCAGATCTCAGCCTACTGAATAGCTAGGATTACAGGTGTGAGCCACCGGTGTCCAGCCAAAAGAACTTTTAATTTACCTCAGAGCAGAAAATCTGTTATTCATAAGGACACACTAAATATTTTGTATAGTATATATCCTATATAAAGTATTCTCTGTGATTTTATTAACTCCCAAGGGAAATAATCAGCATACTTGTGGGTAAAATTTCTAAGATTCAGCCATATTAAGAATGTCGGCATTATGGTAAAGAGTTTAATTCGTTTATGGAGAAGTTAAAGACAGAATCAACCATATTACTCAGAAATCCTAGTCTTGGATGTGTTCCCTACAGAACTAAAAACAGGGACTTGAACAGATATTCATAAAGAAATCTCATAGCGGTTTTAGTCACAACAGCTAAAAGGTAAGACAATCCACATACTTGTTCTTCGGTAAACATAGTGTTACATATTCAGTGCCTTGTTATTCACAGTTCAAACATCCAAAGTTTTGATACATTCCACACCATGCACTAGTCTTGAAATCATTAAGTAAAATAACACCCCCGCCAAAAAAAATATATATATATATACATATGTATATATATATATCGGCATTTAGAAAATAAAAATTTTGCTGCATTCTGGTAGCTCACACCTGTAATCCTTGCAACTCAGAGATCTGAGAATCATGGTACAAAGCCAGCCCAGGCAGGAAATTTTGTGAGACTCTTTAACCACTAAAAAAGCCAAAAGTATACCTGTGGCACAAGTAGTAGAGCATTAGCGCTAAGCACAAAAACTCAAGGATAGCACCCTGGCCCTGAGTTCAAGACCAACACAAATAAAAAGGAAAAGAAAAAATGTTAATGCTGTATTACTTAGGCCTAGGCCTACATTGTTAAGACCTGACATATTGAATAAGTGATAGGACTTTTTGTGCATTTCTGTTCCAGGTTTCAGTTTTGTTGTTAATATTTAATGAAGTGTGAGAACTTAGATTTTTGACCCAAGGAAACATTTGAGCTAGCTACATACTTCAATTTTCTGGTTCTGAGAAAGATTTGGGGTCTAATTCAACCCCAGCTAATATGTGTGCTATATAAAAGTTCCAGTGATGATCACAGACATTGGGCTTACAGAGTGGAGAGCTGTACACAGAGGCCTCATGACAAACATCATAGGGATGAGGGAGAGGTTGGACTAACTTTGCAGGAGCAGTCAGCTCTAGAACTAAATCTTGAGTTACCTGGCCTACAGATGAGTAGTGTAGAAAAAGCAATCCAGGGCTGGGAAGGTGGCTCAGTGGTAGAGCGCTTGCCTTGCATGCCTGTGGTGCTGTGGCTCAAGTGGTAGAGTGCTAGCCTTGAGCTGAAGAGCTGAGGGACAGTGCCCAGGCCCAGAGTTCATGCCCCACGATTGGACCCAAAAAAAAAAAAGAAAAAGCAATCCAGGCACTAAATTCTCAGAGGAAGCATAATCACTGGTTGTAGAAGTGGGAAAGAATTGATGGGACACTTTTGAGCACCAGTTTCTACTCAAAGAAGTAGGCAGATGGAAAGACAGCAGGTGATTTGATGTGATTAGGTCTATAGTTCAGTCAGTATGGGAAACAGAGAAAAAAAAAACTGGAGGGGCAATAGTGGGAGGAGACCGCTACAAGGAGGGAGGAAGTTGAATGTTTTCAAAATGGATTTTTTGAGACTGAAAACAGTGAAACCTGTCTGAAATTGTTTTAGGAAGGAGAGCAGCAGAGAGAGGGTGAGATTGATAAGATTGCACCGTAAAAGTGAAAATGTAGCAATGAAATCCTCACCTGTAAATAATGTAAGCCAAGAGAAATGTGTGGAGAACAGGCAGGAAAGGGAAAGATGAGAGGGTGGGAGGCAGGGACTTATTGAGAGGCGGGTCCTAAAATGTCTGTACAGAGATGCGATTGGAAGGTGGATATTCCACTAGATCTGTTTGGAGCCCAGAGAGGAGTGGAATTGCAGAGCTTGAGGTCTCTGGCTGGTGGGGCTGCCCAAAACAAATCAGCCTGTAAGGGCTCTGCAGAATCCCAGCAGGTGGCAGGACAGCTGTAAACCCTGCCAGACCCCCCACTATGGTACAGGCTCCAAGCCACCTCTAGCATATTCTAAAGGTTTATATGTACTCATTTTTATTTAATTTTGCTTGGGCTAGGGTGTCTAGTTGATTGTTCTTCACCTAGCAAGTACAAGACCATGGTTTCAACCACAAAGAAAAACAGGAAAGTTCATGGAACTCTCCATGTAATGTATATTTCATTGTGAAACCAGCACTTTTCTTTCCCTGTTCCCATAAACACTGGCTTAATGAAGCTCCCAAGCAAAATCTGAGGAGGGGAGAAGAGAGCAGGACAGTAACAGTCAATGTTGAATAACACAAAAGCAAAACCAAAATGCCTAGCTACCAACTTTACATTTCAGGAGAATAGATGCAAAAGTATCTGTCTTACAGGCATGGTGGCCTATGCCTGTAGTTCTCAGCACATGAGAGGCAGGAGCATCCAGAGTTCTCAAGTTCAAGGACAGCCTGAGCTACACAGTAAGACCGTACCTTAAAAACAAAAAATAAAAGATCAGGTGCTGGTGACTCATGCCTGTAATCCTAGCTACTCAGGAGGTTGAGATTTGAAGCCAGCCCAGACAAAAGTCCCCATGAGACTCATCTCGTTAACCACTCAAAACCCAGAAGTAGAGTTCAAGTGGTAGAGCACTAGTCTTGTGCAAAAGAGCTCAGGGACAGCACCCAGGCCCTGAGTTCAAGCCCCACAACTGACACACACACACACACACACACACACACACACACACAAAACCAAAAACCAGGTGCTGCTGGCTAATGTCTATAATCCAAGCTACTCTGGAGGCTGAGATCTGAAGATAGTTTGGAGCCAGCCCAATCTGGAAGGTCTGTGAGCTCTTCCAAGTAACTACAAAAAAGCTGGAAGTAGAGATGTGGTTAAAGTGGTAGAGCACCAGCCTTGAATGAAAAAGCTAAGGAACAGTGCCCAGGCCCTGACTTAAAGCTTCTGAACTGGCACAATAATTAATAAATACAAGCTGAGGAATTAAGATCCCTAAGAAAGCATAGGGCTTATTCACACTTGAAGAAGGCTGCCTGCTACTCCAAAACTAGGGTGAGTTTCTCATGGAAGGAAGAACTCACTTCCAGCTGCCTCTGAGTCTTCAGGACCTCACTGGTAAGCACATATGCTCATTAAAGAATGGAACTCCTCATCCACTTGCCCTCTGGCCTGCTTCCTACTGGCTCCAATGACAAGTGCTGTTCCCCAAGCTGTGACAAAGTCATCATGCCACCTGACTCCTCAGATGTCCCTTGGCACATTAATGTTCAAATTCTGTTCCTGTCAGGTAACTGCACCCCTTAGGCCCTGAACCCTCCACACAACCCTCATTATCTTCAGAGAGCATAGATCTCTCCTGGAAAAGGTCCCTTTGGCCTGCTGTGCCTGGGCTTCTCCCAGCTTCCCACGCTCCTCTGTGTCCAGTCTTGTTTCTGCCTTCATTGACATTTTATGATTAACCTGTAGCTTTGGGGTGTTTTTTATTTTTTGGGGGGGGGGTCCGGTCGTGGGGCCTGAACTCTGGGCCTGGGCGCTGTCCCCCTTGAGCTCTTCAGCTCAAGGCTAGCGCTCTACCATTTGAGCCACAGCACCACTTCCGGCTTTTTTCTTTTTGCTTATGTGGTTCTGAGGAATCGAACCCAGGGCCTCAAGCATGCAAGGCAAGCACTCTACCACTGAGCCACCTTCCCAGCCCCGTTTTTAATTTTTTTTTTGTCTTTGTTGTTGTTTTTGTCGGCCGTGGGGCTTGAACTCTACCACTGAACCACAGCGCCACTTCTAGTTTTCTAGTGGTTTATTGGAGATAAGAGTCTCAGGGACTTTCCTTCCTGGGCTGGATTTGAACCGTGATCCTCAGATCTCAGCCTCCTGAGTAGCTAGGATTTCAGGCTTGAGGCACCAAAGCCCGACTAACCTGTAGCTCTTTTATCTTCTTATAGGCTACACTTTACACTGTGCCATCTAGACTCACCAGCGCTTAAGTTTTTGTTTTTACTAGAAATATTCTCCTTCCAATGATCCACACCTTCCTCTGGAACTGAGCTGGTGGGATGGCTCCTCTGGGGAAGTTTTCCCGACTCCTCACTTCACCCCTAATTAACTTACTTCACCCCTAATTAACTTACGTCCTCTTACTTCCTTCAGCACTGTCTTGGTCTCTTGAGAGCCTCTCCATGTCTGCACTGACACAAACTTTCACATTCTGTCACTGAACTGGGATTGCTTGCAGATTGTTACCGGGGACACCAGTGGCCAGCACCTGGGAGTGCTGGAATAAATGGATACCCTTAGGCTGCAAGACAGGGTGAGTATGCTTCAATCCAGACTGCACTGAGTAAAGTGCTGCATTTTTTTTTATTACTCTGTGCTACTTTATACACAGAGGTTGCGTTGTGATCCTTTTTATTTTTTGGAGGGTCGGTCGTGGGGCTTGAACTCTGGGCCTGGGCGCTGTCCCTCAGCTCTTCAGCTCATGGCTAGCGCTCTACCACTTAAGCCACTGCGCCACTTCTTGTTTTTCCTGCTGATGTGCTGAGGAATCAACCCAGGGCCTCGTGCATGCAAGGCAAGCGCTCTACCACTTGAGCCCCTTTCACAGCCTCGTATTGTAATCTTTCTGTACATGCGGATAGTGTGTGTGTGTGTGTGTGTGTGTGTGTGTGTGCGCGCACGCACGCATGTCGGCCCTGGAGCTTGAACTCAGGACCTGGGTGCTGTCCCTTAGCTTTTTCACTCAAGACTGGTGCCACAGGGCCACTGGTGACTTTTGCCGGTTAACTAGAGATGAGCCGTGGATTTGTCTGCCCAAGCTGGCTTCAATCTCAGCCTCTTAAGTATCTAGGATGACAGGCTCTACCTAATGTATTTTGCTATGTGTATGTACCGCTCTATGCTCTTCCTCATCCTTCCTCTCTCCAAAGTGTTTTTTGAGATGTGAATACATCACATACCAAAATGCGCGAGGTGTGGGAATATGGTTTCCCGCTCCTGGGCTTCAGATTCTAGCAACAGAGGTCTTCCATTCTTGTGCTCCGTCCCCAGTACACTGCCCCGTGCCCACCTTCATCTGGCCGCTGTGTGTGGAGCGGCGAGCTCCCGAAGCCCGGACCTTTCTAGAGGTCTCCCGGGCTGGGCCGTGTGCGCTCCCTCTGCCGGCGGCGACGCACACCGCAGCGGCCGCGTGCCCAGCCCCGCCCCAGCCTCCGAGGCCCCGCCCCGCGCACCGCAGCGGCCGCGCGTCCTAGCCCGCCTCGCCCCCGCCCCAGCCCCGGAGGCCCGGCCCCGCATTGCGCAATGGCTGCGAGCCCGTCCGACCCTGCCCCAGTCGCCGAGGCCCGGCCCCGCGCACCGCGACCCCGCGCGCTCCCCCTGGCGGCGGCGGCCCGCACCGCAGCGGCCGCGCGCCCTGCCCAGCCCCGCCCCGCCCCAGCCTCCGAGGCCCGGCCGGGGGAGGGGTCGCGGCGGCGGCGGTGGCGGCGTCACGGCCGCGCTCGGGCGGTGGGAGCCTAGGCTCCGGAGCAAGATGGCGGCGCGAGTGTTGCGCGCCCGAGGAGCGGCCGCGGCTGGCGGCCTTCTGCAGCGGGCCGCCCCTTGCAGCCTCCAGCCCGGGCTCCGGTGAGCAGCGCCGCCCTCTCCGGGCGCGGCTGGGGAGGGGCCGCGGGGCGAAAGGCGTCCAGGCCGCTGCCCGGCTCTGCGCCCCCCGCCTGGCCGCGCCGCCCTCTCCGGGCGCGGCTGGGGAGGGGCCGCGGGGCGAAGGGCGCCGAGGCCGCTGCCCGGCTCTGCGCCCCCGGCCTGGCCGTGCCGCGGGGAGGGCGGCGGGTCAAGGCGCGCGCGCGGGCGCCCCGCGGCCCCTGCGGATTCAAGGTCACAGCCCACCGCGGGGCTGGCCGACCGCGCCGCCCCCTCCCCGGGCTCGCGGGACTTTGACCCAGCCGCGCGGCACCCTAGGCCCAGGCCTGACGCGGCCTGCGCTTCCCGCCCGGCCCTCGCCGCGGCCGCCGCGGGTGGAGGAGAAACCGGGTCCCCGTCCCCGGAGAACTGGCCTTGCAGGTGGTGAGGGCGGAGCGCCAGGCCCGGCCCCGGACAGCCTTGACTTGCCCTTGAAAGCAGTGTATCCAAAACTATTGCCAACCGCAACACTTTTGCAGCCGAAGAGAAACTGTATTCACATTGAAACTTTTTCCCAACTTCCTTCTCTGGATGAGGTTCGGGTGTCAGTCTGACACCCTGACATTGCACGTGCCATACTCCACATCCTGGCTTGCTTGCTTGCTTGCTTTTATCTCTTCAACTGGTTCGTTTTAGTGTTGTCCTTTGGGTGGTGATAGCAGTTGATGGGCCTCTGGAAAATATAGTTGTCTTTTAACAAGGAAAGCAATAGAACTGGCATTTTGTTGTTATTTATTTTATACATATATATATGTATATATAGTTAGTGCAGGTCCTGGGGTTTTGATTTCAAGGCCTCCCTTAGTTTTTTTTGGTCAAGGCCAGCTCTCTACCACTTGAGCCACAGCTCTACTTGCAGCTTTTTGGTGTAACTGAAGATAAGTCTCATGGACTTCCCAAGCTGCCTTTGAAGTGCGGTCCTCAGATCTTAACCTCCTAAGTACCTAGGATTATAGGTATGGGCACCTTTTTTTGTTGTTTTGTTTTGCAATGCTGAGGATCAAACACTACTGTGACTTAGTGTCATCATAGTAAGTAGCACTTGAGTCTTAGGAGGTGAAACTCACAGAAAGCAAGAGATGCAAGGAAGAAAGATGTTTGAACTCTCCTTTGTGAGGCTGCAGGTGCACTGTGCCCTTCCTGGAGTTGATACTCAAAGTCCAAATTACTTACATTTGGTGTTTTTGTTTCCAAGATGATTTTTTTAAATTATTGTTTTCTGTGCCAGTATTGGGACTTAAGATCAGAGTCTTTTCTTGCTCAAGTTTGGAAACTTGGGAAGTTTGCAAGGGCAGTTTGCTATTCATATAGATAAAACCAGTGTGAGTCCTCTCAGATGTCTGGGCTGGAGGCAACTATGTGCTAATACCAGCACGAAGGGTAAGACAATAGGAAGGCTACATGCTGATGGGCATATGGACCTTCTGTGTGCTGTTGGGTATTTGATTGAAATTTTTCATAATGATTTTTAAAACCACAGAGATGGCTTGAGGCAGGAGTATGGATGATAAAGAGGTTGAGAAACAAGCTCTGGCATATGAGCATTTGCAGGCAGGTAGAGATGAAGTGGCCAAAAAGGGAGCTAGAAAGAGCATCCAGGAAGGTGGTATGTGACTGCTACCAGAAGGAGGTATCATCCCAAGGAGGCCATCATCTGTCAGGACTACCAAAAGGTTAAGCAGCATGACAGAAGAAAACTGGCTTTGCCAACAGGCATGCTACCGTAACCCTGTGGGGTCAGTTTTAGAAAGCAGTGCAACTTCTTAGGCACCCCAGCCCAGTGTATGTCCTAATGCAGCTAGGTGCCAGTCCCAGAGTGGAGTGTCTTGCAAGTGCTGGAAGGCTTCTGCACCCAGGTTTAACTCATGCTTCTACAAAGCCTGCTCCTCTTCATTCTCTCCAAAGAAGCATCTTTCAGTTAGTGGTCCAAACCAGAAACCAGCAGGTCTTCCTCAAGCCCGACCCCCTCCCCCACCCCCATCTGTTGCTACTGTAATAGTTCTGTCTTTATTTTTTTTTTTAAGGGATTTCATTTTTTTTTTATTGTAAAGCTACTATACAGAGGGTTACAGTTACATGAGTGAGGTTATGAGTACACTTCCTCTTGAACATTGTTACCCCCTCCATTGTTTTCCCCATACCATCCCCTCCCTCCCTCCCTTCCCCGAGGTTCTTTTTTTTTTTTTTTTTTTTTTTGATTGTGATTAAATGATTACATAATTTCAAAATCACAAGTTCATTCTAACTTCCCTGGAGCAAATTGTCTACCACAGTCTGTAATATATAACAGTGTTCACATGTTATATACCATATTTGTGATCAACAGCATGGGGATATTTAGTAGTGGTTCAACCAAATGAGCGGGAGTTCTTTGTTTCTTAAGTCCTGTTAGTTTTGTCGTTTCACCTAACCTTTTGGATTTAGCATCCACTTATCAGGGAGACCATGTACCGTTTGTCTCTTCGTTCTTGGCTTACCTCGCTCAACATGATTCCTTCTAGCTCCATCCATTTCCCTGCAAATGCCATTATTTTGTCATTTCTAATGGCTGCATAATATTCCATTGTGTATAGATACCACGATTTTTGGATCCATTCGTCTGTGGTGGGGCACCTAGGTTGTTTCCATATCCTAGCTATTGCGAACAGTGCTGCAATAAATATGGAGGTGCACGTGTCCTTGTATATTGGTTCCTGTTGTTCAGGGTAGATGCCTAGAAGTGGTATGACTGGGTCGTAAGGGAGGTCAATCTTTAGCTTTCTAAGGACCCTCCAGACTGCTTTCCAAAGTGGTTGTATAAGTGTACATTCCCACCAGCAGTGTAATAGGGTTCCTCTTTCTCCACATCCCCTCCAGCATTTGTCGTTGGCTGATTTGTGGATGTGGGACATTCTGACTGGGGTAAGGTGGTATCTCAGGGTTGTCTTTATTTGCATTTCCTTCACCACCAGGGATGATGAACATTTCCTCATGTGTTTCTTTGCCATTTTTATTTCTTCATTTGAGAAGTCCCTCTTTAGTTCCCTTGCCCATTTAGTAATTGGTTTGTTAGGTTTGGGAGGGATTAGTTTCTTGAGTTCCCTGTATATACAGGATGTTAACCCCTTGTCTGATATATTGCTGGTAAATATTTTTTCCCAATTAGTTGGTTGTCTTTCTAGCTTAGTTGCGATAGATTTAGCTGTGCAGAAGCTTTTTATTTTAAGGTAGTCCCATTTGTCGAGTCTCTCTCCAACTTGTTGTGACCCTGGGACTCTGTTCAGGAAGTTCCTTCCTGTGCCTATTAGTTCAAATGTCTCTCCTACTCTGTCCTGTAGTAGTTTCAGAGATTCAGGTTTAATGTTAAGGTCTTTAATCCATTTTGAGTTGATGTTGGTGCATGGTGATAGGCTGGGGTCCACTTTTAGTTTTCTGCATGTGGCTGCCCAGTTTTCCCAGCACCAGCGGTTGAAGAGGCTGTGTTTCTTCCATTGTATGTCTTTGGCTCCTTTGTCGAATATCAGCTGGCTGTAGGCCTGTGGATTTATATCTGGATCTTCTATTCTGTTCCATTGGTCTTCGGGTCTGTTTTTGTGCCAGTACCATGCTGTCTTTGTGATTATAGCTCTGTAGTAGAGTTTGAAGTTCGGCATGGATAGCCCTCCCATATTGTCTTTATCCCCTAGAATTGTTTTGGCTATTCTAGGTCTTTTGTTGTTCCATATAAATTTTTGGACTGTTTTCTGTATTTCAGTGATGTACGTCATTGGGATTTTAATAGGAATTGCATTGAATTTGTATGTTAGTTTTGGAAGTATCACCATCTTTACTATATTAAGTCGGCCTATCCAGGAGCATGGGAGGTCTTTCCATTTCCTAGTGTCTTCTGCAATTTCTTTCTTTAACTTTTTATAGTTCTCATTAAATAGTTCTTTTACATCTTTGGTTAGGTTAATTCCTAAATAGTTCTGTCTTTAGCATGTCTTCATTCTGTCTTTTCCATCCATGACCCTCATCTCAACCCCAGCACTTGTTTGAATCTTACAAAGAACATGGTCTTGAACCTATCGCTAAAGAGGAGAGCTGAAAATTTCTAACAAGACATTACAAAGATTTCTATTATACAAACTCTGGATCCTAATCCTTTTTCCCATCCACCCTCTATCTCCCAGCCAATAGAGGGTGTGGATATTAGATGTTGTGGAATTATTGTCTTGGTGTAATAATAGCATTTCAGATTTGTCTTTGTTTTTAGCTGATCTGTGGTGAAGTATTTCTTTTCATATACTGTTTGCAAACGCTTGTGTAAAAATTAAAAAGTAGGGCTGAAGGCATCGATTAGTCATCTCCAACTGACCCAAGTGTGAGTGAGGCCCTGAGTTCAAAAAGCCCTGGTACCAGAAAAAAAAAAAAAAGTAAATAGAAATTGGACATAGTATCAGGTTCTTTTTAAATCTGTATGCAAGGTATTGATTATCCTTCCTCAACTTCTCTGAAGTATTTCAAAATGAAAGGTGGGTAACTGGGTCTCTATAGTAGCAGCTTAGAAAACAGGTTTAACGGGGTTGGCACAAGGGCTTTGTGGTAGGAGTGGGGTTGGATAGCTGCTGCTATAACACAAAAGTTCCTTGGAACGAGTGGTGTTTGCAAGCTCCTGGATTTGGCACATAATCCTTAACATATCCTTTCTTTTCCACCTGACAAATTATCTACAAGACTTTGGATCAACAAATACTTCTTCAGCCAGTTCTAACTTCCTCCCAGCTAACCTGGACTCATCTCCTCCTTGCCTTTCTACCTACCACCAGTGTCTCTGAACCCTTGCCTGACACTGGGTGATGATTATGCTTCAATAACCCTCCTGCAGACTCGGCACTTTGAAGGCAGAGCTGGACTATTTTCTCCTCTGTTCCTCAACTGCCCAGGGCCTGGCACATACTATGTGCCATTAGTAAATATTTGAGGGTCAAATGAGGAAGCCTGTTCTGTTCCTGTTGCCTGGTCATGGGGTCTTAATACATTTCAATATACTTATCTTTTCCATTTGCTCTAACTAAGCCTTATCACCATTTTACGCAGCTGATCAGGACCTGCTTCAACCTTTCATCTCAGGAGGGTGTTTGTTTTTGCCGTGCCAAAAATTAAACTTAGGGCTTGGAATGTAGGCTAGGCAAGCACTCTGCCACTGCACTACATACCCCAACCTCAACAGTGTCTTTCAAATATATTCAAAAGAATGTTTCTGCTTAACCCTGGACCACCCTTTGCCCATCCAGTGAATGTGTATTTGTATATCCTTTATGCCTATAGCTGCTAGGCATGGCAACCACAGGCGCCCAGGACTGTTGATGCCTGCCTACATGGCCGCTGTCATCTGCCACAGCACTGCCAGGCTGCTTTGTACACACTTGAAAAGCTGCCAGCATCATGCCATGTCAGGATGCAATCCTCTACGTAAGCTGTGTAAGAGCCTAACTACCCTGCCTGCCTTTACCCTGTTGTTACATCTCTCTCCATCCTCCCCCTCCCTGCTCTCCTGCCTTCCTGAACTCTGCTATGTCAGAAACAGGTCACTTATTTCCATGATTCTTTCTTTGCCTTTGTACATGCTGTTCCTTTTGACTGGATTATCACCTGCCTTGTTTATCCGCTCACTTGTCTTCTAAAACAGCTGAATGTCTTTCCTGGAGTCCCTCAGTTCCTCAGAAGCTGTGATTTGTTCCCTTGAGCATCAACTGTGTGTGTATGTCTATGTGTGTCTACATCTTCTTCCACAGCATCCATGCTGACTCTGGGTGATTGCTAATAGAATTTCCCATGTGGCTGAACAGGCTCAGTATCTGATTCAAATGGATGCTCACAGAACCTCACTCCCCTCATGCTTATTCTACTTCAAGTCTGATATTTTGTAGACTGGTGCTCCCTCCTCTGTTGATGTTATAAGACTCGCAACATGGGTTGCAACAATGCTATGGTGACCTCTGACATTGGTGATTATCACTTGATGCTATAGAGACTCCTGACATTGCTGATTGTCATTGTCAGTAAAGGACTGATGCCTTGCCAGCTTCCTATTACTCTGACAGCCATTGTAGCTTTTACCTCCTCGCTGGTCATACACAGTGAGAAGACTGGGATCATCTATAGAGTAGTCAGCTTGGCTCATCTGACACTCAGATGATTGCAAGGCTTGCAATCAATGGCGAGCAGGTCTGGAGCAGACTGCTTTCATGTGTCAAGGCAATCGCCACTCAAGTTCTAAGTAGTTGAGATCCTCAGGGGTAGGGAGGAGGGTCTGCTTTCACCCCGCCCCTCTGAAGACCAGGATTCAGAGATTCTTGTATGTGTCCTATCCTGACTGTTTCCTCTGCTGAGCGTGTTCTGTTTACAAAACACTTCCATATCCCTAATATCTATTGTAAAAATTATCATAGTAATTTTATCTGCTTGTCATTTTATCTCATGAGATATTAAACATCTAAAAAGGTGGCATATATAAAACATTCTAAACAAATTTGAGCAGTGTGGGGAAGGGTTTGTCATTTGTATTTATATAACTAAATAGGGCCTGAACACTATCTCTGAGGTTTTTTTGCTCAAGACTTAGTGCTCTACCACTTGAGCCACAGCACCACTTCCAGCTTTTTTTTGTTGTTGTTGTTAGTGGATATAAGAGATAAGAGTCTTACAGATTTTCCTGCCCTGACTGGCTTCAAACCACCATCCTCAGATTGTAGCCTCCTAGGTAGCTGGGATTACAGGCATAAGCCACCAGCACCTGGCTGCTTATATTTGTGCTTGAACTCAGAGCCTTGCTCCTGCTTGGCTTGCTTGCTTGGCACTCTCACTTGACTTCACACCTCTAGTCTGGCATTTTGCTGGTTCAATGGAAATGAAGTCCCTCGGACTTTTCTGCTCAGGCTGACTTCAAACTGTGAATCTCCAGATCTCGGCCTCTTAAGTATGTAGGATTACAAGCATGAACCACCAGCAACCAGCAAGTGGATTTTTTTTTCCTGGTCCTGGGGCTTGAACTCAGGGTCTGCACACTGTCCCTGAGCTTCTTTTGCTCAAGAGGCACTTGAGCCACAGCTCCACTTCCAGTTTATTTTGTAATTTATTGGAGATAAGAGACTCATGAACTTTCCTGCCTGGGCTGGCTTTGAACCACGATCCACAGAGCTCAGCCTTCTGAGTAGCTAGGATGATAGGCATGAGGCACCAGCACCCAGCTCTGGGCTGGCTTTGAACCAAAATGCTCAGATCTTAGCTTCCTGAGTAAGTAGGAATCTAGGTGTGAACCACTGGTGCCTGGCAAATGTTTTTATTTTTATTGAAATAAATTTTACCCTGACTCATATGGAAAGGTGCCTTCTTGAAATTCAGTTTTTTTCTAATCAAAGAGTTGTGAAAGAAAAACACCATATGTTTTGCCTTTTGTTAAAGAGCCAGAAGTTTTAATATACAGTGTCTTCAACTTTGGGAAACTTTTATTTAAATAATAGCTCTAGAAAGTTAATCACTATAGATCAGGTTCTCACCTGAGTGTGTTAAGTGCATTCTCTAGGAGTATTTTGTGCATTATACAAGTGAGAAACAGTAGCTCCAGAATCACCCACTCCAGAATATAACCGTTAAATAAAGGATTCTATCATAGAGTAAAAGCCAAAAGAAGAGTCTCCAGCTTCTTTTTAAAACACATTTAAGCCCAAACATTTTTGTTGACTTTACAAGAAAATGTTGCTGGTTACCAGTGACTTGTGTCTGTAATCCTGGTGGCTCAGGAGGCTGAGATCTAAGAATTGAGATTTAAAGCCATCCCAGATGGACAAAGCCTTGAGGCTTTTTTTTTTTTTTTGTCCAGTCCTGGGGCTTGAACTCAGGGCCTGGGCACTGTCCCAGAATTTCTTTCGCCTAAGGTTAGTACTGTACCACTTGAGCCACAGTGCCGCTTCTGGTTTTTTCTGTTTATGTGGTATTGAGGAATTGAACCCATGCATGCTAGGCAAACACTCTACCACTAAGCCACATTCCCAGCCCCTTGAGGCTCTTATTTCCATTTAACTAGCAAAAACTTGACATAGAGCTGTGGCTTAAGTGGTAGAGCTCTAGGCCTGGAGTTCAAGCCCCCGTACTGGCACAAAATGGGAGGGGAGACAGGGATTGTAATCAAAAGCAATTGATATTAATGCATGTAAATATGAAATTAGAATACTGCTATTTCTAAAATACATTGTTGCATAATAATAGGAATTTGTGTTGTTCCAGCATGGAACCTAAGTATGCATTCCCAAGAAGCAGTGGAGAACCTATTTTCCTGAGGACATGAAGCAACCATTCCTCTTGATGTTTTTTTTTTTTCTTAATTTGTGGCATTCCCTAGTTAATTAATCTGTTTTAGTGCACCTTAAATTATCTGCATTAGGAAAGAAGTGTAAGGAATGCAAGTAGTGAATGTTTTTGTGCATTTAGTCTCCAGCACTTAGATAAATATAGCTGCCTGTGTGGAATGACTAGTGTAATTGCTGGGCCAAAATCATGTGTAAGTTTTGATAAAATATTACACTGTCCTGTAGGTCATCCAAGTTTGTGTTCTCACCAAGCAAGCCTGTGGGTGTTAAGAGGGCACTTAGAGTGTCATGGTTAAAGTATAGATCATTGCTTCAGCCAAATTTATCTACACATTTTTTTTCCATGTTGCTAAGAATGCAGCCTAGGGCCATGCATGGACAAGTGTCTGCTTCACAAACCTTACACATCCCAATCCCCATTCTGATCAACCTTTAAGTGTGGAACTCAATAGCATTAGTTGTATTAGCTTTATTCTACATAATCATAGCCTTTATCTGTTTCCAAACCAAACCTCCTTCCCTTTTTTTAGAGGTATTGGGGTTTGAACTCACGGATTCATTGCTAGGCAAGTGCTCTCCCACTTGAGCCAGATCCTCAGCTCTTAGGGTTTGATTAATGTTTTTGGCCAGGCTGACCTGAATCTCAATTCCCACTGTTATTTCTGCCTCCTGAGTATCTGGGATGACAGGCACACATCTCCATGAGCAGCCGCTGGTGAGAGGAGGACTGCTTAACCTTTGCCAGAGCTGATCTGAAACTTCAAGATAGATGCCACTGCACCACACCTTGTATTAAAATACCGCGTAAATATATCACTGGGATAATTTTTAAGTGTACAATTCACTACCATTGAGTATATTCATACTGTTTCAGCCATAGCGCTTTTTCATCTCCCCCAGCACCCAGCAGGTCTTTGTCAAAGCTGCCCTGGGGCAGGGGAAGAGCACTACTAGGATTGCACTGTGAGGTGTGAGGTTGTCCACTTGGTAGTCTCTGCTGCTGCTCTTGAGCATGCACATGGCCAAGCGAGGTTGTGTGCCTAGGTTCAGAGCACAGGGCAAGGACACAGTGCAGGCTTGATGAAGACAGCAGGGTGGCATGTGACAGGACCTTCTGGCTGAGACTCACTGTTGTGTTTGTTATTCCACAGGAGAGTGACATCATCCGATAACAGGCCCCGAGAAGACAGCTGGTTAAAATCTTTATTTGTCAGGAAAGTTGACCCGAGAAAAGATGCTCATTCTAATCTCCTAGCCAAAAGGGAAACGAGCAGTTTGTACAAATTGCAATGTGAGTAATAGGTTCACGTTTCATAGCTGCTTTTGTTGTTGATTCAAACAAATTCATAATTGAATTTTCTTTTGTTTCAGTTCACAATGTTAAACCGGAGTGCCTAGATGCATACAACAAAATTTGGTGTGTATATTGAACTATCTTTTCCTTGGGAAAAAGTGATTTTAGGATTTGTTAGTTCTACTAATACTTGATAGCAGAGACTGGTATATTTTATCTTGTGGAAGCCTTGAGTTCTCTGAGCAGGTACTCTACCACTTGAGCCACACCCACATCCCTTTTGGCTTTAATTATTTTTTCTGCTACAGTCTTTTGTTTTTGGTCTGGAGCTGCCTCAGACTTTGGTCCTCCTCCCTAAGCCTCCCATGCAACTGAGATTACAGATGTAACCACCACACCTACCTTATTTGTTGAGATGAGTCTCCGTAAGTTTTTCCTCCCTGGGCTGGCCTTGATCCTAATCATCCTGAGCTCCATCTCCCTGGTAGTTAGGGCTACAGATGTGAGTCACCAGCATCCAACTGTTTATACTTAAACTGAGTTGTTTGGTTTGCCTATGCGTTTTGATTTTAAACAGCTAACCCCTCATATGGTCTCCTCACAGTCTAGAATGCTACCAGCTTTTGAAGATTGGCAGGAGCCATGCAACGCCATCTAGTCATCGGTTCTTCCAGTGCTTAAGTCTGTTCGCAGACCTTCCTGGCAAATCATGCATAAATAAATTCCATCTCTGGACAACTTTGAGGGTTAAGAATTAGAACTCAGGGCTGGGAAGGTGGCTCAGTGGTAGAGCGCTTGCCTTGCATGCCTGAGGCTCTGGGTTCGATTCCTCCGCACCACATAAGCAAAAAGAAAAAAGCCAGAAGTGGCGCTGTGGCTCAAGTGGTAGAGTGCTAGCCTTGAGCTGAAGAGCTGAGGGACAGCACCCAGGCCCAGCAGGCCTCACGACCGGACCCAAAAAAAAAAAAGAAGAAGAAGAAAAAGAATTAGAACTCATTTTCCTATGATCTCCACTGTTGCTAGATTTCCTCCTAAAGAGACTGGCACATGAAAGTTCTGCATAGGGCTCGGGTTATGCCTATAATCTCTGAACTCTGAGGCTGATAGTTACCAGTTCAAAAACAGCCTGGTTTACATAGTGAGAGCCTATCTTAAAAAAAAAAAAAAGCCAGGCGCCAGTGGCTCATACCTATAATCCTAGCTACTCAGGTGGCTGAGATACAAGAATTACAGTTCAAAGCAAGCCTGGGCAGGAAAGTCCATGAGACTCTGATCTCCAATTAACCACCAGAAAACTGCAAGTGGCACTGTAGCTCAAGTGATAGAGTGCTCACCTTGAGCTACAGAGCTCGGGGACAGCACCCAGGCCCAGAGTTCAAGCCCCATGACCAACAACAACAACAACAACAAAGCTGGGTAACACATACCTGTAATCCTAGATACTCAGGAAGCTAAGATCTGAGGTTCAAAGCCAGCCTGAGCAAGAAAGTCTGTGAGACTCTTATCCCCAAGTTTCCTACCAAACTACAGAAATGGAGCTGTGGCTCAAGTGGTAGAGCACTATCCTTAAGCAAAACAGTTCAGGGAGATACTGGTGCCGGTGGCTCACACCTTTAATCCGAGCTACTCAGCAGGCTGAGATCTGAGGATCAAGGTTCAAAGCCAGCCCGAGCAGGAAAGTCTGTAAGACTCTTATCTCCAATTAAGCACCAGAAAACCAGAAGTGGTGCTGTGGCTCAGGTGGTAGAGCACTAGCCTTGAGCTGAAGAGTTGAGGGACAGCACCCAGGCCCAGAGTTCAAGCCCCAAGACTAGCACTAAAAAAAGAGAGGAAAAAAGTATCCTGTACATACGTAATTATTACTGTTATTTCTTCCCAATTCTTCCCTTTTTCCAGAATCTGTGACCCCTGAGCTGATTGTTCTATGACAAGACCCATACCTCTGATAAAATTTGGGGAAATTTAGCTCAATTCATAGTTAAACAAAGTAGTATTTTAACAATTAGTTGTGAACAAATACAAGACAAAGACCTTTTAATATCTGAGAAGGCAAATGATTTTTGTCTCCAGAACTCAGAACAATTTTCAGAAGCAAAGCTTTTCATTTTTTTTTTTTTTAGGTATTTAGTCAAATGCAACAGCATAGAATTTCTTGCTCACCTCAGTGTATCTCTTTATTTAAAAATGACCTGAAACAGAATAGATGTTTATCTCTATCTTTTCTCATAAAATGAACAGTTTTCGCCACACTTGCATTTTTCTACACTGGATTATCTTCATCCCATTTTACTGTTTCACCTCCTGTCTCATTCTGCCTATCCGTATTAGTATCAGCTGCCTCAAACCTCAACATGCAAAACCACCTTCCTGTCAGCACTGTCCACTGGCCTGTCCTTAGACCTTGTGACTAGTCAGTCACAGAGGCTACATTCTTCATCCAGTGATACCTTTGGGTTCTCTGCTTGTTTCCTTCTCTTCTGACATCTGCCTCTCGGAGACTGCCAAGCCCTATTCCCAAGTTGCCCTCCCTTCTGACTACCTTTCCAGGCTACTTTTCCCTTATCAGCACCCCACTTTGTAATCCATTATCCCAATGGATAATGGATGATCTGTTTCAGATCCATTTTCTCCCTCCTGTTTTTTTTTTCTTTTCTCTTGACACTTCCAGTTTCCAGAACATAAAGACTTAAGTCTTGCCTGGTTTTCAGGGGCTTTTATAATGAGATTCTTCTGGCCTGTCTAGTTGTGGGCATAAGTACTGCCTGCCTGACAACTTCCATTCAGGTAAGGCCAGGGTTGGTCAGGCTCCATTTCTGACCTTGAAGTCCTTTTGCATCCATTGTGGAATGAGCACTGTATATTTCATCACCATTTTTCTGCTTAGAAATTGTGTGGGTTTGAGCTTTTCTCCTGGTGTAAAACAGTGCGGCCCTTGCTCTCACCATTCCTTGCACATCATCCTTTGGGAGGGTTTCCACAGAGCCCAGCTGGTAAATTATGAAGTCTCTGGTAAATTATGTCTGGCCATTGTCTTCCGTGGTTCAGCCACTGGTCCATACTGTATGGTCAGAGGTAACAAACTTGTTGCTGTGTTCTGTGTGAGGCTATGTAATACCTCTAGCATAGCTCTAGTTTTGGCCCTGATGATGCTATTTAGGACTGTTGAAGATTGAGGCCTTGTGTGCTCATCATTTTCTTTCTCCTTTCTTTGAGGCCTGTCTATTCTCTTCCTGGTAACTCTACCTGCTGTACCAATTCTCTTGTCTGACTCGCTTCCCTTTCTCATGTTTTTGGGTTTTTAGTTGTTAAAACTAGCAGATCCAAGTTTTTGTTGTTGTTGTTGTTTATTTTGTTTTGTTTTAGTCAGTTGTGTGGCTTGAACTCAATGCCTGGACACTGTCCCTGAGCTACTTCACTCAAGGCTAGCACTCTACCACTTTGAGCCACACCTCCACATAACCCCACTGATGTCCAGTAGAACCACGTTTTTGTAAACATTACATTCCTAAGCAGTGCTCTTTCCCTGAGACAGCAAGAAGTCCTGCAATCTAGGAACCTTTGCCTCTTCATTGTTTTTATACTTTAGTTGCTGCCCACTCTTGTAGACAGCTTGGGTTGAAAGCTAAGCTTCTGATAAGTGGGGTGATAGTGTAAAACAGAATTCAACTTAAAGGTTACCTTTTGGGCCTCATTTTATCATAAATGTGCTCTGAAATCAACTGTCAGAACCCAGCGTACGTGGTCTCTTTCTTTTTACTGTTTGTGTGGACCACTGGTAAATTTTCTTGGTTGTTTAATTAGTGTTACTGTTTCTTCTCTTTAAGTCAAGAGGTGTTGCCAAAGATTCATGAAGATAAGCATTACCCTTGTACTTTGGTGGGGACTTGGAACACATGGTATGGCGAGCAGGATCAAGCTGGTAGGTCTTTGAAATAAACACATTTTCCTTAAGCCTTTTTGTACTCATTCAAATAATTTCCTAATTGAATACTTATTTTATTAATCATAGTTTTTCAAGTTTCAGTCTAATCTTACGGCTAAAGTAGTCTCTTCAATAATTCATTAAAAGCTACTGTTTATTATCTTTAGTGTTTTCATCTATTATTAAGACTTTATAGCCAGGCTTCAGTGGCTCACACCTGTTATCCTAGCTACTCGGGAGGCTGAAATCTGAGGATCATGGTTCAAAGCCAGCCTAGGCAGGAAAGCCCATGAGACTCTGATCTCCAGTTAATCACCAAAAAACCAGAAGTGGCACTGTGGCTCAAGTGGTAGAGCGCTCGCCTTGAGCTGAAGAGCTTAGGGACAGCACCCAGGCCCAGAGTTCAAGCCCCACAACAAACTAAAAATAAATAAATAAAGACTTTGTAATGTAATTGCTGTGTCAATTACATGACACATTACAGTTCATTTGTTACTTAGGTCACTACAGTACATGGAACATTAGTTTTGCACTATGTTTTTGTTACACGTATCTAGGATATTTTCCTGGTTAGGGTATTGTGGAGCTCTGAGTGTGTGCTGTCTTTTAAAATGCATTTCAGTCCACCTGTGGCGCTATGAAGGAGGCTATCCAGCTCTCACGGAGGTTATGAGTAAACTCAGAGAAAATCAGGTAATGGTTTTGAAAAAAATGTACACTTATTCAGTCTAATAATACAAAATGTGTTAGTACAGAATTAAATGACTTATCTCTCCTTAATTTTTGTTAGTAAACACTTTGTTTTTGTGGTAGAAATTTCTGTTGTTTGAAACTGGGGCTTGAACTGGTATCTGACACTTTTGCTAATTTGCTGGTGCTCTACCACCTAAGCCATGCCTCTAGCCTCTAAGGGTGTTTTTTGGGGGAGTGGAATTTTTTTTTCTTCTCTTGTTTTAAATATTGTCACTGTAAAGGTGATATACAGAGGGGTCATTGTTTCATAAATCAAGTTGTGGTAAAAATTTTATGGTAGAAATTTTGTGGTAGAAATTTGGATTCCGGAAGCGTGGAGTTACTATTTCATGCTTAACAGTTTTAATATTATTAAAATGACAGCTCTTGTTATAAAACTCCACTTGTAGCCAGGTGGTGGCTTACACCTGTAATCCTACCTACTCAAGAGTCTGAAATCTGAGGATCGCAGTTCAGAGCCAGCCATCGCAGGATAGTCCATGAGGCCCTTATCTCCAAGTAACCACCAGAAAACTAGAAGTGACACTGTGGCTTAAAGTGGTAGAGTACTTGAGCAAAAGAGCTCAGGGTCAGAGCCTATGCCCCGAGTTCAAGCCCCAGGACTGCTAAAAAATAAAAATATAAAACTCCAGTTGTACTTTTAAACTAATAAGCCAATACATTGAGGCCAGCGTGTCTGCATGGTAGACACAGGAAGCCCTGGGTTACCCAATGTCCATCGCTTCAGGGAATGTCAGCACATGTGGTATTCCTTTGGGCCAACTTTGCCATCCTGCCCCTCCCTTCACTACTTGGAGCTTGATCTTGAACACACTGGGCAAACACCCTACCACTGAGCCACATCTGCGGCCACACTTCATTAGGAAAGAAAGCCTTTTATGGAAGCTCCCACAAGAGTATAAATGTCTTGGGAGTTGTTTTGTGGCCATCAGGTAGCCTCCATTCCAATATGGTCCAACACTGCTTACGGACATTAAAAAATTAAATTTGTAAGCCAGGCACCAATGGCTCACAAATGTTTAGAAGGCTGAGATCTAAGGATTGCACTTTGAAGCCTTCCTGTGTAGGAAGGTTCATGAGACTTTTTTTTTTGTCAGTTGTAGGGCTTGAACTCTGGGCCTAAACACTGTCCCTGAGCTCTTCAGCTCAAGGCTAGCACGCTACCACTTGAGCCACAGCACCACTTCTGATTTTCTGGTGGTTTATTGGAGATAAGAGTTTCACAGACTTTCCTGTCCAGGCTGGCTTCGAACCGCAGAACCAAGATCCTCAAATTTCAGCCTCCTGAGTAGCTAGGATTACAGGCATGAGCCACTGGCTCCGACTCCATGAGACTTTTATCTCCAATTAATCACCAAAAGCCAGAAGTGGAGTTGTGGCTCAAGTAGTAGAGTGCTAGCCTTGAACAAAAAAGTTCGGGGACAGGGGGCTGGGAAGGTGGCTCAGTGGTAGAGCGCTTGCCTTGCATGCATGAGGCCCTGGGTTCGATTCCTCAGCACCACATAAGCAAAAAGAAAAAAGCCGGAAGTGGCGCTGTGGCTCAAGTGTTAAAGTGCTATCCTTGAGCTGAAGAACTGAGGGATAGCACCCAGACCCACAGTTTAGCCCCCACGACCGGACCCAAAAAAAAAAAAAAGGTTCAGGGACAGTGCCCAGGTCCTGAGTTTAAGCCCCAGGACTCTCAACACACACACACACACACTAAATTCGTTTACATTGTCATTTAAATAATACAGTGAACATGTATTTGTTGTGTATATCTGGACACCCAGCGGTGCAAGTGAGTGCTGTGGGTCCTCACACTGGTTCAACAAATAAAGAGGATTGTTTCAGGCCATCTGGGACTTTAAGTTACCTTTTCTATGATAGTATTCTCTGGGCACATCACAGTTTCTAAACTACACTTATATGTAAAAATTAGAAGATTTCATGAGAGTATCTTTTTTACCCGAAGGAATTTGTGAGGTTCCGGAAGGCAAGAAGTGACATGCTTCTCTCCAGGAAGAACCAGCTGCTGTTGGAGTTCAGTTTCTGGAACGAGCCTATCCCACGGGCAGGGCCTAATATATACGAACTCAGGTCCTACCAGCTCCGAGTAAGTATGGAGGCAGGAAGAAGAAGAGCAAGCCTCCAATTGCTGACAGTAAACCTGGAGTGTAGATTCTGTTATGGAGGTTAACCTTAAGAGTTTGATTTGGCTAATTTTCTCCCTATCTAGTTCTCCCATTTCTTTCTCATTTTTTTCTATTCCACTATGCTCTTCTGTTTGTATGGTCTTATATAATATATATGTTTGATTTTTTTTTCCTAAATAACATTTTTGTTTTTAAAAGGAAAGACCTCAGCCAGGCACCAGTGGCTCACACCTATAATCCTAGCTAGTCAGGAGGCTGAGATCTGAGGATCTTGGTTCGAAGCCAGCCTGGGCAGGAAAATCCATGAAGCTCTTATCTCCAGTTAATCACGGAAAAAGCCAGAAGTGAAGCTGTGGCTCAAATGGTAGAACACAGAAGCTCAGGGACAGCGCCCAAGCCCTGAGCTGGAGAAAATGAAGCAGGGTCTTTCAGTGCATTTGTAGCATGGACCTACGTCTTGTTTTGATCTTTTTTTTTGGTCGGTCATGGGGCTTGAACTCTGGGCTTGGGCGTTGCCCCTTCACTCTTCAGCTCAAGGCGAGGACTTTACCACTTGAGCCACAGCGCCACTTCCCGTCTTGTTTTGATAACCATAAACAGGTTATCATTGTACATTTGTCATCTTAGTCTATGAAGCCATGAAATACAATTTCCTCTGTGGAATGCGAACAAGTAAACAGTCATACTCACTCTTGCTTCTCTATTTTATCATAGAAGAACTAACCAAAGTCTTCATCTCTTTTCAGCCGGGAACCATGATTGAGTGGGGCAATTACTGGTGAGTATGTTATTGGTGTTGTTGATTTTATTGGTTTTAATCATGTATTTTTTAAGCCACAATGTGAATCCTAAGGGGGAAAAAAAAAATCTTAAGAAAAATGCTGTGGGCTGAGAAGGTGGCTCAGTGGTAGAGCGCTAGCCTTGAGCTGAAGAGCTGAGGGACAGCGCCCAGGCCCAGAGTTCAGGCCCCACAACCGGGCCCAAAAAAAAAAAAAAACGGAGGTCCTGTCACTTGGTACACAGTGGACAATATTATGTGAACCAACCTCAGTCACAAAAGGGTGAACAGTGTATGAGTTCATTTGTGGGAACATCCGAAATGGGCATAATCATAGAAACAAAAACTGAAAAGCGGGGGAGGAGGAGCAGAAGTTTGTGTTTAGTGGGTGACAAGACTCAGATCTGCAAAGTACAGAGTTTTGTAGACATGTGTGCGGAAATGTGCTTACACTTGACATTGAACTACACATGTGAAAATAGATAGAATGTTAAGTTCAGTGTTGTCTTTTTCCCACAAGAAAAGTAAATAAAACATTTATTTATTGGTGTTTTAAACCAGGGTCTTGCATTGTTGTCTAAGCTTACCTGGAACTCTGTCTCCTCCTATCTCAGCCTCCCTATGCTAGGATTACAGATGTGTACCACCAGGCCAGGCCTGGCTTAAAGTATCTCTTTAAATGGGAAAAGTATTTGGATATGTGTTTCACCAGAAAATTCTAATAAACACATGAAAAATATTTCAGCCAGGTGCTGTGGCTCAAACCTGTAAACCCAGCTAAGTGGGAAGTAGAGATTAGGAGAATTCAGTTTGAGACCAACCCAGGCAAAAAGCTAGCAAGTGCATCTCACCTATAAAGCTAGTACAGTGGTGTATATGTCTATAATCCCAGTTACACGGGGCCAAGGCTGCACTAGGCAAAACCTGAGTCACCATCTGAAAAACTTATGTAAAAGGAAAAGGCTTGGGATGTGGCTCAAACGATAGAACACCTGCCTCCTATGAAGTATGAGGTCTTAAATTCAAATTCCAGCATGCCCCCACACACACACACACACAAGTATTCCACATCTTTAGTATTATAGAAATACAGAGCAAACCTGCAGTGATCAACAACTTCAGTACTCACTGGATGGCATAACTAACACAATGTCCTCCTGGACGGCAGGCATTTACATCTTCATTTACTGCTGATGGGAAAGTGAAACAAGGCAGCCACCTGAAATAAGATAGTCTGTCAGTTGTTCAGGAAGTGTACATAGAGGGACAGGACCACTGAGCACCTGAACCCAACAGACAGGCATGCAGATGCCCACAGCATGCTCCATAGCTTGGTGTGTGGTTAGTGTTAAAACTTGCTCACCATGGAATGCACAGGATGTGGTGGGTTAGTCAGTTACTTTTTCTTTAGTGTATAAAGCCAGTGGCATTCAATTTATATTTTGACACATAGGTAACTAAGATGGTGATATCTTCAGTACATGCTTCTGATTATTACCAAGCTAAGGCAAGTATATTTTCTTTGCCTTCTATGACTAAATTAGAAAAATGCAAAATGAAATGAATTATCTGGAAATTGTAACACAATCAATGAAATTTTTTTCCTTCTGAGCAGGGTTGCAATGCACATTACATTGATTTGCTTAATTTCAATACTTCATCCATAGATTTGTAATTTTTGTGATGATACTGATTACATAATTCCAAAGGTGAGGGTGCAGGTTAACAAATTTCACATTGTTTCTGGATGACCTTGGGAGAAGTGGCAAAAGTCCTCCCTTCACCAGGGAGGAGCCTGAATTGGGTGTGATTGCAGCTGTGGTGTGGCTCTCCCAGTAGATGAGAGCAGATTTCCCCTGGCCTGTTAACTGTGGGAAGCTGTTGTGACTGAGGCTGGGCCAGAGCTCAGGCAGCATTGACTGACATGTTTTGGTGATCCACAGTGAGGACGTCCATCATAGATTCCAGCTTTGCTTCTGGTAGCAACCCTCCCTTCACAGCCACCTTTCACTCTAGAAAATTGCTTTGGGAAAAATAATTTTAAAATATGTTTTAGGAATTCAGATTATCTTACTAAGTATAAAAATAACATGGGGGGGGGAGGGCTGGGAAGGTAGCTCAGTGGTAGAGCACTTGCCTTGAATGCCTGAGGCCCTGGGTTCGATTCCTCAGCACCACATAAACAAAAAGAAAAAAGCCAGAAGTGGCGCTGTGGCTCGAGTGGTAGAGTGCTAGCCTTGAGCTGAAGAACTGAGGGACAGGGCCCAGGCCCAGAGTTCAGAGTTCAGGCCCCTTGACCGGACCCCCCCCAAAAAAATAAATAAATAAATAACATGAAATCTGGGAAAGTGGTTCAGTGGTAGGGTGCTTGCCTTGAGTGCATGAGGCCCTGGGTTCTATTCCTCAGTACCACATAAAAGAAAAGGTTGGCAGTGGTGCTGTGGTTCAAGCGGTAGAGTGCTAGCCTTGAGCTGAAGAGCTGAGGGACAGTGCCCAGGCCCAGAATTCAGGCCCTACAGCTGACCAAAAAAACAAACAACAAAAAAAAGTGAACAGGGCGCTGGTGGCTCATGCCTGTAATCCTACTCAGGAGGCTGAGATCTGAGGATCACAGTTCAAAGCCAGCTCAGGCAGGAAAGTCCGTGAGACTCTTTTTACTTTGTCAAGGTGAGCTCTACTACTTGAGCCACAGAGCCACTTCTGGTTTTCTAGTGGTTAATTGGAGATAAGAGTCTCACGGACGGGGCTGGGAAGGTGGCTCAGTGGTAGAGCACTTGCCTTGCATGCTCAAGGTCCTGGGTTCGATTCCTCAGCACCACATAAGAAAAAAAAAAGCCGAAAGTGGCACTGTGGCTCAAGTGGTAGAGTGCTAGCCTTGAGCTGAAGAGCTGAGGGACAGCGCCCAGGCCCAGAGTTCAGGCCCCACAACTGGACCCAAAAAAAAAAAAAAAGAGTCTCACAGACTTTTCCTGCCTTGTCTGGCTTTGAATCTCCATCCTCAGATCTCAGCCTCCTGAGTGGCTAGGATTACAGGCGTGAACCACCAGGGCCCAGCCTTCTGTGAGACCCTTATCTCCAATTAATCACCAGAAAACCAGATGTGGCACTGTGGCTCAAGTGGTAGAGTGCTTGCCTTGAACTGAAATGCTCAGGGACAGCACCCAGGTCCAGAGTCTAAGCCCCAAGACCAACAAAAATAAAAATAGAGCTGGGCGCCAGTGGCTCATGCCTGTAATCCTAGCTACTCAGGAGGCCAAGATCTGAGTTCAAGCCCGATGACTGACAAATAAATAAATAGATAAATAAAAAACTAACATGGCTGGTGTACACTGAAAGGCATGAAAAGAGCTGATACTTTTTGGAAGTGATAAATGTCAAAAAGGTTTATGTTTTTTTGTTTTTTTTTTTTTTGTCTTTTCTTTTTTGGTACTGGGGATCGAACCCAGGACGTTGCACTTGCTAGGCAAGCGCTTTGCCACTGAGCTACATCCCAGCCCAAGGTTTATGTTTTTTAAGATGGAATCTCCATATGTTGCCCAAGCTGGCCTTGAGCTCATGATTCTTTTGTTACAACCTAAGAGCTGGGATTACAAATGTACCACCACACCAAGCTAAAAATTTTTTTTAAAAATTGGGGCTGGGAAGGTGGCTCAGTGGTAGAGCACTTGCCTTGCATGCTCGAGGCCCTGGGTTCGATTCCTCAGCACCACATAAGAAAAAAGCTGGAAGTGGCGCTGTGGCTCAAGTGGTAGAGTGCTAGCCTTGAGCTGAAGAGCTGAGGGACAGCGCCCAGGCCCAGAGTTCAGGCCCCACGACCGGACCAAAAAAAAAAAAAAATTAGCTGGGTGCTATGATTCATGCCTATAATCCTAACTACTGAGGAGGCTGAAATCTGAGGATCACAAGTTCAAAGCCAGCCCTGGCAAGAGACCTTCATCTCCAATTAACCACCAAAAAAAAACCAGAAGTGGAGCTGCAACTCAAGTAGAACACTAGCTTTCAGCAAAAGAAGCTAGAAAATAGCAATCAGGCCCTGAGTTCAAGCCCCAGTATTGGAACACAAACAAAAAAGGCACCTATTACAAATTTTCCTTTTTTTTCTTTTTGCCAGTAGCCAAGCTTGAATCCAGAGCCCCATACTTTTTCTCTCGTGGCTGGCACTTTACCACTTGAGCCATTTCTCTAAGTTCCAACCTCCTGGATTTGTCTGCCTGGCCTGGCTTTGAACTGTGATGCTCAGATCTCAGTCTCCTGCATAGCTAGGATTATGGTGTGAGTCACCAATACCTAGCTATGTTACCCATGTTTTTATGCCAGGCCTGGGGCTTGAAGTCAAGGTCTAGGTGCTGTCTCTGAGCTTCTGTATTCAAAGCTAGTGTTCTACCTCTTGAGCCACAGCTCCACTTCCAGCTTTTTGGTGTTTAATTGGAGATGAATCTCACAGACTTTCCTACCTAGGCTGGCTTTGAACCACAGCCTCCTGATTAGCTAGGATTATAGATAGGACCCACCAGCATCCAGCAAAGGTGTGCCCCCCACTTTTTTTTGTCGGTTGTGGCACTTGAACTCTGGGCCTGGGTGCTGTCCCTCAGCTCTTCAGCTCAAGGCAAGTGCTCTACCACTTGAGCCACAGTGCCCACTTCTGGCTTTTTCTGCTTATGTGGTGATGAGGAATTTTTTGTCGGTTGTGGCGCTTGAACTCTGAGCCTAGGCGCTGTCCCTCAGCTCTTCAGCTAAAGGTGAGAGCTCTACCACTTGAGCCACAGTACCACTTCAGTTTTCTGGTGGTTTATTGGAGATAAGAGTCTCACAGGCTTTCCTGCCTAGGTTGGCTTTGAACCGAGATCCTCAGATCTCAGCCTCCTGAGTAGCTAGGATTACAGGCATAAGCCACCCGAGCCCTGCTAAGGTGCCCATTTTTAACCAATGTAATCACAGTTTTATGTATACCAAGTGTTTTATGTACTTTTTTTAATAGTTTTTTTATTGTAAAAATACTGTACAGAGAGGTTATAGTTACATGAGCAAGGTAATGAGTACATTTCCTATCAAGCATTGTTACCTCCTCCTTTGTTTTCCCCTACCAGCTGACAAAATGTCTTAATACCCATTTGGCCAGCACTTGTACTGGAGACAGTGCTGGTGAAATGCTGACAAGAAGCCCCACCCTCACACTCCCTGCCACTGAGACTCACAGCTCACTCAGTGCCTGGGTCTCTCTCTGGCTTCTTCATCTGTTTCCAACCCCGTTCCGTAGTAGTGGCTCCACTGTCCGCTGGCATCCTGGGACTATACCAGATTTCCCCCACTTTCTCCCAGAGTGTTCTAGGTTGCCTGGCTCCTCCCCTATTGATTCCCTCAACTTTATGTCAAGAATTAGTGACAAAACCAGATATCCCATGTTTTTATTTGGAATAATTGCATCATGCATTGTATAACTACAGAAAGGTGTATTTACATTTTATATCCATTAAAATTGCTTTTGACTGCACTCTGATAATCTCATAGCAATTCAGTATTTGCTTTTGTGAAAAAATGAGGCTTCATTCTACACAGCTTTCCCTGGGTGTGAGAGAAATGTAGTCTCCAAATCTACTCCCCACTTAGACACAGCAACCTATCCTCCTTAACAGCTTTCCCTGCCTGCAGATGGCATGGGCCTATAGTCTGTTCAGCCTTGTCTTTCCTCTTCCAGGGCCCGAGCAATCCGCTTCAGACAGGACAGTAATGAGGCAGTGGGGGGCTTCTTCTCTCAGATTGGGCAGCTATACATGGTTCATCACCTCTGGGGTATGTATGCTTCCATTCATTTTGAGTTATAAGATTTCAGATACATGGCTAATTAAATTCTAATGGAGGTCATAGTGTGATTGGACGGTAGAGCAAACCTTAAATTGGAAACCATAAACAATAGGGAAATTCTGGGCTGGACAGTAAACTGGACTGTCTTAAGAGCTGAAGCCTTGAGCTCAGTCCACAGTACCACCAATTGAATTGAATGTTATTGAGGAAGTTCCATGGTTTGAAAAGTGTCTCAGATTTACTGAACTGTAAAACTTTAAGAGCTGATCACAGGGCTGGGAAGGTGGCTCAGTGGTAGAGTGCTTGCCTTGCATGCATGAGGCCCTGGGTTCGATTCCTCAGCACCACATAAGCAAAAAGAAAAAAGCTGAAGGTAGAGAGCTAGCCTTGAGCTGAAGAGCTGAGGGACAGTGCCCAGGCCCAGAGTTCAGGCCCCACGACCAGACCCAAAAAAAAAAAAAAAAATAGCTCACTTTGCTTCTCCTACAGAAACTAACAGTAAGTTTGGCCAGAACAACATGCTCACAATTTTCTGAGCTTGGTACTAAGTCCTTTACCAGCTTAGTAGATGTGCCAAGCATCATGCCTGGTCTTAAGTCTTGCTTCTTTGTGGTTATTTTTAAGCTTACAAGGATCTTCAGACCAGAGAAGATATTCGGAATGCAGCATGGCACAAACATGGCTGGGAAGAATTGGTATACTATACAGGTAATACAGGCCCGTTTATCTTACTGTTCTAGCTGCATTTTTTCACTCTGGCTAGTTTGTTTACTTTCCAAATATATATTGCTAGGATAGTGAAGAAGTTGCAAAGATGAGAGATAACCAGAATTTTAATACTTACTTGACTCTCTTTAAAAAGATTATTGTTGGGCTGAGAAGGTGGCTCAGTGGTAGAGTGCTTGTCTTGCATGCCTGAGGCCCTGGGTTCGATTCCTCAGCACCACATAAGCAAAAAGAAAAAAGCCAGAAGTGGCGCTGTGGCTCAAGTGGTAGAGCGCTAGCCTTGAGCTGAAGAGCTGAGGGACAGCGCCTAGGCCAGAGTTCAGGCCCCACAACCGGACCCCCAAAAAAGATAAAAAAATAAAAAGATTTTTGTTGGGCTGGGAAGGTGGCTCAGTAGTAGAGCACTTGCCTTGCATGCATGAGGCCCTGGGTTCGATTCCTCAGCACCACATAAGCAGAAAAAGAAAAAGCCGGAAGTGGCGCTATGGCTCAAGTGGTAGAGCACTAGCCTTGAGCTGAAGAGCTGAGGGACAGCGCCCAGGCCCAGAGTTCAGGTCCCACCACCAGACTCAAAAAAAAAGATTATTGTTTTGTTTTGGTTTCATTTTGCTTTGTTTTGCTTTTCTTTTTTGTGCTGGTAGTGGGGCATGAACTCAGGACCAAGATGCTGTCCCTAAGCTTTTGTGCTCAAGTCGTGCTCTACCACTTAAGCCAGAGCTCCATTTCCAGCTTCTTGAATAACTAGGATTATAAGCATGAGCTATCCATGCCCATCTATTCATTGTTTTAAGTATGTTGCCTGGTATATTGGATCTTATAAATTCTACAATAGCACAGTTTTTGTAGATTTCTATATTCTTTGAAAATTTGTAATACCAACTTTTTTGAAGGTTTCTTTTTCATCAAAATTGCCATTTCCTAAAAGAATAGCTTAGTACATCAATTAAAAAGTATGTAAACTTTGGGCTGGGAAGGTGGCTCAGTGGTAGAGCATGTGCCTTGCATGCCTGAGGCCCTGGGTTCGATTCCTCGGCACTACATAAGCAAAAAGAAAAAAGCTGGAAGTGGCGCTGTGGCTCAAGTGGTAGAATGTTAGCCTTGAGCTGAAGAGCTGAGGGACAGCGCCCAGGCCCAGAGTTCAGGCCCCACCACCGGATCTCAAAAATAAAATAAAATAAAAAGTATGTAAACTTAGAATGGTTTTGGCTGGACTCTAACTCACTGGTAGAGCACTTGCATAGCATGTTCAAGACACTGGATTCAATCCCCAGCAATAAAAAAAAAAAAAAAAAAATTGAGGCCTGAGAATATAGCTCAGCCATAGATTGAGCCATAGCATTGGGAAAAGAAAGAAAAGAAAAGGAAGGAAGGAAGGAAGGAAGAAGCGAGGGAAGGCAAGGAAGGAAGGAAGGACAGACAGACAGACGTGCCAGGCACCAGTGGCCTGTAACCCTATTCAGGAGGCTGAGATCTGAGGATCACAGTTCAAAGCCAGCCCAGGCAGGAAAGTCCATGAGACTTTTATCTCCAAATAACCACCAGAAAACTGGAAGCAGAACTTCCACTTTAAATCTATATATTTTTGTTTTTTTGTTTTTTGTTTTTTTGGGTCCAGTCGTGGGGCCTGAACTCTGGGCCTGGGCGCTGTCCCTCAGCTCTTCACCTCAAGGCTAGCGCTCTACCACTTGAGCCACAGCTCCACTTCTGGCTTTTTTTCTTTTTGCTTATGTGGTGCTGAGGAATCGAACCCAGGGCCTCAGGCATGCAAGGCAAGCGCTCTACCACTGAGCCACCTTCCCAGCCCCTAAATCTATATGTTTAAACCCATATATTTACCAAGAAGATGAAAGAGTAAGTTAGTCTAGGAAATATATTTCTATTATCTTTTCCTTTAAAATATTATATAAGCCAGGCACCAGTGGTTATGCCTATAATCTTGCCTATAATCTCAGTAGACTGAGATCTGAGGACTGAGGTTTGAAGCCAGCCCTGGCTGGAAGTGGAGCTGTGGCTCAAGTGGTAGAGCACTAGCCTTGAGCGAAAGAGCTCAGGGACAGTACCCAGGCCCTAAATTTTGGCCCTACAACCAGGGCAAAAAAAAAATTAATCATACAATTGGCTGGAGGCATGACTCAGTGGTGGAGTGTCTGCCTAGTAAGCACAAGGCTCTGAGTTCAAACTCCAGTGCCACCAAAGGAAAAAAAAAGTATATATAAGTATGAAGTTTTGTGGCTTATGCTTATACCTGTTGTCCATTACCAGAGGCATGTTTCACTCAGCAGTTTAAGAGTACAGTATATCTGTTCCTTTGTATAGGACACATTCAAAAATATGATTACTTGGTTTTATTATAAATTTATTTTAGTTCAAAGAACCATTTGAGAAATTACCTTTTCTCACAGTATGGGCTTTCCTATTTCCCACAAGTAGAACAAGTCTCCAGGAAAGGTGTGTTGATCTTAATAGCAGGTTGCTAGCTGACTGGTTGACAGTCTACATATTTCTGCTAAGATCAGTGCTACCTCCCAGAAACAGAACTATTCTGTGTCCTCTTGACATTGCTAGCCACGAGTTTGAAGGACAGCAAGCTCAGTAATCTTGACCTATTTTCAGTCCCACTAATTCAGGAAATGGAATCCAGGATCATGATCCCACTGAAGACTTCACCCCTCCAGTAACGCTACAGAGTCTGTGTGCCCATGTGGTGCGACAGGTACCTGTCAGGAAGTAATTGTGAGAAAACTGAGGTGTACACTGCTGTACATAGCTTATAAGGGGCCTCTTTTCTTTAAAATTCATCACAGGAAAGGAAACCATTACCATGTGGCCGATGACAGGCTCTCTCTGTTGTCTTTGAACCATCCCTCCCCACCCTCCAGGAAGCGGGTCCCGATTAGAGTCTGTCATCTAAGATTCGAACCATGAAAAGAGCCATTTCTTTCTTAAAAAGCAAATACATTTTATAAGCACAGATTTTGACAAACTTCTTGTATCAGGAAGAAATTCAAATTTTGTCATGTTTCTCAAGATTTTCTGAGTCTCAAACTAGGAACAAGTAATGAGTGTGCCCAACAGCTGAAGTTGTTTGAATTCACTCCCATCTATAATCAGTGAGCCTTAAGTGTGTCATCACCACTCTGGTAATGGTGGACAAGGTACATTTTATCAATAACTGTCTTCACGTTGTGGGCCACGGTCTCTGTGATGGTGAAAATGGCTTGAACCCATGTATCAAATGACTGAAATGAACACTGGGAGGAGGCTAATTTTATTTGTGATATTTTTCTATAAAACAAGTAGCACTTGGAAAAGAGGTTTTCTTTTGTAAGCAGTCATTTATGACCTCAGACATCCTCTGGTTGATGTTACAGCCACTGCAAACCCTTCCAAGGTCACAGATGAAGGGTGATCCGTGTTGAAACTTAATTTGGCAGAAAGCTGCAAACTGTGTCTAGCTCTGTGTGTTCAGTTTTTAGTAGCATGTGCCAATTTTGTGACTGTAATCATATGAAATTCCTATTAAACTGAAAAGTTATTTCTACCCCATATATTGAGGAATTTATGTGTAAAATAAAGTGTGAATAAATCAAATGTCAGGCCTTTACATGTGAGTCTTTTTATCTGAGAAGATAAAATGTCAATAAAACCCTCTTTGTTCTCACATACTGCCCATTGGGACCTTTTATGACTTATGCTGACAAGGAATTTTCCTATATCAAGGGACCCACGCTCTGCCCAGCTGCCCTGCTCGTCATCAGGAAATCTTCACAACTGCTGCCCTGGTGAGCCTCTGACCTGATCTCAGGGTGAGGAAAAGCCCAATTTCTGGTCTTTCCAAAGAAGTTTGTGAAAATGGCCATTTCACTTTACCCTCTTGAGTCCTTATTAGACTCTCAGCTCCTTGAAAAACAAGGGCTGTTGTCTTTGCTTACCATACCCAGCCTGTGACACAGGGTCTGGGACAGGTCAGACACTCAGCCCACATTTGCAAGATAGATTAAATAAGAACTATACGAAACAACATCTCTGTTTTTCTCTTATGTTTTCTTTTTTTTTCATTGTTGCGAATAGAGCTACGGAGCTTAGGACCTGCACTTGCTGAGCAAGTGTTGTACCATGTCAGCTATGCTTCTGTCTGTAAACTTTAAGAAAAATGGAGCCAGGTGCCGGTGTCTCATGTCTGTAATCCTCACTACTCTGTAGGCTGAGGTTTGAGGAGTTCAAAGCTAGCCTGGGCAGGAAAGTCTGTGAGACTCTTTTTTTTTTTTTTTTTGGTCATGGAGCTGAACTCTGGGCCTGGGTGTTGTCCCTCAGCTCTTCAGCTCAAGGCTAGCACTCTACCATTTGAGCCACAGTGCCACTTCCAGCTTTTTCTGCTTATGTGGTGCTGAGGAATCAAACCCAGAGCCTCATGCATGTGAGGCAAGCACTCTACCACTGAGCCACCTTCCCAGCCTCCATCTGTGAGACTCATCTCCAGTAACTACTCAGAAAAATCTGGAAGTGGTGCTGTGGCTCAAGTGCTAGCCTTAAACACAAAGGGACTCAGGGTTCAAGCCCCAGGACCAGCAAAAAGGAGAAGGAGGAAGAGGAGGAGAAGGAAAAGGAGGAGAAAGGAAGAAGAGGAGGAAGAGGAAGATAAAGAACAGTAGAGTTAGTTGTGTTAGTAAAGGTAATGTAGCCATTCAGAAGTGCAGAGATGGTTCCATTTACAAATGTGTAGACTGGTGTGAGGTGCTGGTACATGCATGTAATCCCCACACACAGAAGATGTTGCAGGATTTTAAGTTTGAGGTGAATCTGGGTTATGTAGACTCTGTCTGAAAAACAAATTTTAAGCTAGGCATGGTGACACATACCTCAAGAGGTAAGCCAGCTAGGACTAAAAGTTTATAAAACCCAATCTCAACCAATAAAAGCTGAGCATGCTGGTACATGTGTGTCTGTCTAAATAAGTAACATAAATAGGATTCTAGACCAGCCAGAGATCCTGTTCAAAAAGCAACTGAAGTCGGGTGCTGGTGATTCACACAATAATCCTCACTACTCAGGAGGCTGAGATCTGAGAATTGTGGCTCAAAGCTAGTCTAGAAAGTCTATGAGGCTCTTATCTCCAATTAACCACCAAAAAGCCAAACGTGGAGCTGTGGCTCAAGTGGTAGAGTGCTAGCCTTGAATGAAAAAGCTCATGGGCAGCATTCAAGCCTGGGTTCAAGTCCTAGGAGCAGCAATAAATAAAAAGAGCTAGAACATGATTCAAGTAGCAAATCACGTACAAAGCAAGTACAAGATCCTGAGTTCAAGAATCAACTAATAAGTTTTCAAAAAATTAAAATGAAAAATAGTGAGCTGGGTGCTGGTGGCTCATGCCTATAATCCTACTCAGGAGGCTGAGATCTGAGCATCTCAGTTCAAGGCAAGCGCTCTACCACTGAGCTACCTTCCCAGTCCTAGAGCATCTCAGTTCAAAGACAGCCCAGACAGAAAAGTCCATGAGACTCTTAGCTCAAGTTGACCACTAGAAAACCTAGAGCTGTGGCTCATAGTGGCAGAGCACTAGCCTTGAGAGAAAAAGCTCAGAGATAACACCCAGCACTGAGTTCAAGCCCCATGGCTGACAGAGAGAGAGGGAGAGAGGAAGAAGGAGGAGAAGGGTAGGAAGGGACAGAGGGAGGGAGGTAAAAAGGAAGAAGAAAGAAAAGAAAAAGGAGAAAGAAAAAACCTACAAAAGACATGAAACTTCTTTCATTTTCTCAATTGCTTCATCTACCCATTCTAACCAACCCTTGGGCCACCAAATATTTGGTGAGCATCACTGTCAAGATGCTAAATAGGCAAGAAAGAAAATTGGAGGCATGGCTCAAATGGCAGAGCACCAACCTTGGGCTTTAAAGCCAAATAAGTGTCAGGCCCTAAGTTTAAGCCCCAAGAATGGCAAAAAAAAAAAAAAAGAAAGAAACAGATAATAGAAAAGAAAGGTAATAAAGATCTTAGATTAAGTGGGCTGAGAAGGCTGGGATGTGCTAGCACACATTCAGAGCCTGAGGCAGTCAGCCAGTGCTGGGGAAGTGTCTCCACATCTAGGAAAGTTAGAACCTCCACGCTGAGGGCCCTGCACTAACATGCTAAAGCAAGGCCATACGAGCTGAGGTGCCAGTGAGATGGCTCAGTATGTCACTGGAGGTCATTAGCAGAGTCTCCGCTCTTGCTGTGGGTGAGACAAAATATGCCCCAGGTTTTGGAGCAAAGGAAGGGCATGACTCACACTCCTCCACCACACCTGAGTTTGATCTAAGGGCCTTGCGCTTGCTTAGCTGGTTCCCTGCCACTGGAGCCATGCCTCCAGCCCTACTGACATATATTTCTTTTTTTTTTTTTTTGTCGGTCGTGGGGCTTGAACTCTGGGCCTGGGCGCTGTCCCTCAGCTCTGCAGCTCAAAGCGAGCGCTCTACCACTTGAGCTACAGCGCCACTTCCGGTTTTCTGGTGGTTTATTGGAGATAGGAGTCTCACGGTCTCTCCTGCCCGGGCTGGCTTTGAACCGCGATCCTCAGATCTCAGCCTCCTGAGTAGCTAGGATTACAGGCGTGAGCCACCAGCACCCGGCTCCTACTGACATATATTTCAAATGAGGACTTGGCTTAGCAGTTGCAGTAGAGGGAATGTCCAGGTCCTAAATAAACTTTGATAGCAGAGCCAGCATGATTTCCTAAACAACTGACTGTGAAATGTGAATGAGAAAACTCAGATGTGCCTTAAGGGTCTTGAGGGGATGGGGAAGGCTGTAGGTAGAACAGATCTGAGGAAGTAAAGATCAGTGCTTAGGAAATGTAACTCCCCCTATAAACTCATATGTTGAAAACTTGGCCCCCAATCTGGTAGTGCTCTTTTGGAAGGTTCTGGAAACTGTAGAAGGGGACCAGTTGGAGGAAGTAGATCACTGGAGGTATATCTGTGAACTTTACGCCTTGTCCTGGCTCCATCTATGACTGTCTGCCTGTCTCTCTACTTCATGTCTACCAAGAAAGCAGCTCTCTGTCCATACACTCCTGCCACCACAATGTTCTATCCAAATGAACAGGGCTAACCAACCATGGATGGAGCTCAGTGAGAACACCACCCAAAAATAACTCCTTCCTCCTTGAGGGTATTTCTGTTGGGTATTTTTGTCACAGGGACAATAAAAATTAACACAAGCTAGGCACCCAGTAGCTTGTTCCTGTCATCCTAGCTACTCAGAAGGCTGAGATCTGAAGATTGTAGTTCCAAGCCAGGCCAGGCAGGAAAGTCAGTAAGACTCTTACCTCCAATTAACCATCAGAAAACTGGATGTGGAACTGTGGCTCAAAGTGGTAGAGTGCTAGCCTTAGCAGAAAAATTCAGAACCCAAGCCCTGAGTTCAAGCCCCATGACCAGCAAAAAAAAGGAGGGAGGGAGGGGCTGAGGCTGAGGCATAGTTCAGTGGTTTAATACAAGGTAAGGCCCTTGATTTAATCCTCAGTGCTGCAAAAAAGGGAAAAGGCACTTTTATTTTTTTTAGTGCTATATCACTTTGAGCCACAGCACCACTTCCAGTTTTCTGGTGGCTAATTGTAGAGATGAGAGTCTTATGGACATTTCTGCTGGGGCTGGCTTTGAACCACTATCTTTAGATCTCAGCCTCCTTCATAGCTAGGATTTTAGCATGAGCCACAGGTGCCTAGCTAAGAAAAGGCAATTTTGTCTGCAAGCTTGTGTGGCACACACCTCTTGTTAAGACTGAAGATTTTGCTGGGTGCCACTGGCTCACACCTGTAATCCTAGCTACTCAGGAGACTGAGATCTGAGGATCCAGGTTCAAAGCCAGCCCAAGCAGGAAAATCCATAAGACTCTTTTTTTTTTTTGTCAGTTGTGGGAGCTCAACTCGGCCTGGGCGCTGTCCCTCGGCTTTTCAGCTCAAGACTAGCACCCTACCACTTGAGCCACAGTACCACTTCCAGCTTTTTTCTGTTTATGTGGTACTGAGGAATCAAACACAGGGGCTCATGCATGCGAAACAAGCACTCTACCACTAAGCCAACTTCCCAGGCCTCCATGAGACTCTTATCTCCAATTAACCATTAGAAAAGTGGAAGTGGGCCCAGTGCTGGTGGCTCACGCCTGTAATCCTAGTTACTCAGGAGGCTGAGATCTGAGGATCACGGTTCAAACCCAGCCCCAGCAGGAAAGTCCATGAAACTCTTATCTCCAATAAACCACTAGAAAATGGGAAGTGGAGCTGTGACTCAAGTGGTAGAGTGCTAGCCTTGAGCTGAAGAGCTGAAGGACAGCACCCAGGCCCAGAGTTCAAGCCCCATGACTGACCAAAAAAAAAAATAAAAAACTGGAAGTGATGCTGTGGCTCAAGTGGTAGAGTGCTCACCTGGAGTTGAACAGCTCAGAGACAACGCCCATGCCCAGAGTTCAAGCCCCATGACTGAAAAAAAAAAAAGTTTTTATACCTGGATCCTGCTGGGTGAGATAGTGTCCATGTGCTTATGCAAAGTACAGTGACCCCTGGTAACAAAAAACAAAATCAGAGGAGACAGGCAGGGAAAGCAAGTCACCTGCGAAACAAATTCTGAC